ACAGTGGAGGTCTTTGATGGGAGTTTGTGTGCAAACCTGGCCTCAGCAGACGAGTCTGTGGCTATGACTTCCCCAGCCTGACAGCAGACAGAGCTGGTTTTCAGGACAGCTGCTGGGTTTGGCTTTGTTGTGGATAGGTTTTTCTCCTCAGCCTTGTTCACTTCTCCCCAGACCTGAGATAACAGGACAATAGTGTCACCTTTGTCTTTTCTCAAGTTCCCTTAGGCAGCTAAACTCACAGTCCCAAGTTCCTGTCAGGAGGCATTTTCAGGGAGGGGTGGGCTTCGGTGGTCTCGGCTTCTTTATACAGTGTTGTCACAATGGGCAGAAAGTGCTTTAGACAATATTGAAACCATTAGCCATAACATTCCAGTCTCTCACAAGTCCTGTGAGGAGCAGCTGAGAGAGCAGGGGTGCTTTAGCCTAAAGGAGAGGAGGTCCACTCTAGCTATTTTTGAGTAACATTTAAGCTACAGCTTTGTCTGTTCTATTATTAATGTTCACATTTTTAGCTCCAGGTTTCAGTATGATTCATCTTTGAATTGCACAACGTGGCCATCTAGTTCTAATAAAGTCCAACTAGAGACCTAACCGTACTAGCTACTTACGCCAAACAAGCACTTATCTGCTTTCAAATCATAAAATTTTTAGCAGCAGTATATCCCTTGAATCTGCCATGAATTGGGTTCTGGATTTTCAGAGTTCCATTGTTGCTCCTTCCAGTTTTGTTGAGGCGTTGTCACTCATCTGGGATATCCTCCCTTCAAAATGGCTTCTGGATTCCCAGAGAAGACCTCGACATCTCGTCTTTTGTCCAGGGAAAAGCTGAAGTCTATTACTGTAAGTACCCACTGGGGCTGTGTTAAGGCTGGAAACTCCCCTGGTGTCCGTGCTCTCCCTGCCCCTGTTGTCCAGCAGCACTGTGAGGCTGCAGACCCCCTCCCCAGCTCTTTGTGCCATGCTCCTGTTGGTGGGGGTGTCCTGTGCAGGAGGGATCGCTGTGTGTTGCTTCAGGGTCTCACCTGGCTGTGCCACCAGAGCCAAGTTAAACCAATGTACAGCTGAAGCCCTGAGCACGTGTTCTGTCCCTTTCCCTTTGTCACAGTAATTCCTTCTGTCAGGCTGGACACTCAGCTGTGCTGCTCTGACCCACCTGCCCTTGGGCACCTGGGCATGTGGTGGGGGGGAAGCTCAAACTCTGCCCAAAGCCTTGAGAGACAGGGCTGGTGCCAGCCAGAAGAGGTTCCAAGCCAGCTGTTCCCTCTCATCTCCTGGGTGGGCACAGATCCAGCCCTGCAGACACAGTGTACAGCAAAGCAAGGTAGCTGCTGCAGCACGTCCAGAAGAAAATGTCTCAGCACCTTTGTTCTGCAAGATGGTGGATATCTTCCTGTGCTGGGAATTCTCCCCTGACTTTGGCCATGTGTTGATGGTATCTATCCCAAAGGAGGTGCCTTCTCTTGAAAGCTCTGCATTGGTAGGAGTGTTGGGGCCTGTACAGTTCTTACGTGCTCACTGGAGTCACAAAGGTCCCTTGGCTGTCTGGAGCTCACTTGACTGAAGATGCCCCACTGCTGAGGCTCTGTCAAGGAGACCCCTCTGTTTTCTTCTCTGGAGGGGTCTGTGAGCCCAGAGAGAGAAAAGAAATGCTAATTAACAGGGAGAATGAAAACTTGGACACATTCCTGTGCACCTCACTCTTGGTACAACGTTCCTTTCTTGCTTCTCTTGGACTCAGCCAGCAGTGCTGTCTCCTCGCTGTGAGTTTTGAGTGTTGTGCAGGGATGGAGTTCAGGCAGTTCTGAGAGCTTCTCCCCACTCTCTGAAAAGGTCACTGCCTCAGTCCAATGAAGATAAAGAGGAAACAAATGCCCAAAGAGCAGAAATCCCTAAAAAAGTCACATCAAATCACGGAGAAGCTAATGGCACAGAGCCATGTGGTTGGAGTATGTGTATTGCGCTCTGTATTATTAATTTATGGATGCTAAGTATTTCAGCAAGTAACTTCCAGGGCTTCCAGGACTGTCCTAGAGTATGTGATCACAAATTGTTCACCAGTGCCACTTGTTCAAGAAATGCCTTTCTGAGCAAAAGCATCTCTGAGGCTCCAGCTGGTTTATTTTTGCCTTTCAGCTGCTTCCCTCTAAGTTCCTGTGGGACAAGTTTCTCAACACGAAGAAGAAGGCCAGAACTGGGGGGAGTTTTCTGCCCAGAATTGGCCCATGTGAAGACCTGAGTGAGACTGATCCAAAGGTAGCCTTTTCCTGCTCTTTTCCTTTCTGTTTGACGGGAAGTTTGAAGAGGGTGTGTGCTTGTGACAGGCTTGCCTCCAGCAAAATACCTCAGTGTGCAGGGGCTGTTGTCATTGCAAGCTGCTGGCAGTGGTGGACTGGGAGTCCTGATGTGCACTGAGCCAACACAAATAACCTCTGCTGAAGCTGCCTAAGTGGAGCTGCCATTGCTAAAACAATGCAGGGAAGGCTGGGAACACAAAGGCACAACATTGCCATTTGCCATTCTCCTGCTGAAGGAGCCACCTCTTGTTTTGGTGTGGTCACCATCAAATGCTCGGGGTCACAGGATTCCCTCCACAGTGGCAGCATTGGCCTTTGAAGGCTGAGGACCTGCAGTAATTACTTCAGATTTAACAAAATGAGTTCCATTCATGCTACGGGCTGGAACAATGTGTTGGACCCTGATGGGGTGTTAGATTTTATAGGCTGCCAGATGTACAGGGGACTCACCCTGAGCAGAGGGGAATGGATGTGCTCTATCTGGATCAGTGCCTACTTAGAGGTGTGTTTAAAGCTGCTTTTCTGGCAGGACTGGCTCAGTATAAAGCACAGTCCAAAGGGGTAGGTGACCAAGGTGGGTTGTTGTTATAAATGAGGTCCTATATGTCTAATTGAATAAGCCACAAAATTACAATTTAGCAGCAATTTTAATTGAGCGGCAATTTTATATAAAATTATGCAATCAAATCTAATCAAATAGATACAAAATAATTTGGCAGTGGTTAGGATAAAGCACAAGCAAAACTGATTGGGGTACAATCAGGGTACAGGGGGGTTTCTCACCCTGCCTCCCATACAAAAGATAATGGAATCCAAACACAGCTTATATACTGTATGCTACTACATGTTCATCAATAATTTTTTGTAAATCTCCTCCTATTTTCAATTCTTGAAATCTGTGTCACTGTACTGCACAGTGCATGCTCTGCTTGTTTCCAAGGGGTCTTTTGGCTTTTCGGTGGTCGCTTCCGACGAAGGCTCCTCCTCATCGTCACTGTCCTTTGAACAACCCCACAGGCTGCACATGCGCCCCAAGTCTTGTGCTATAGAAGCCAGCATTATATTCCAAAAATAAGCCTTATTATTTCATAGATACCTGGAATCATCCTAATTTTGTCCATTTCAAGGTCAATTCTTTAACTACCCGGAGGCCTATTCTGTTTTGGGATTTTACTTATCTCACACTGCATCCTGTCTCCTGTTTTCTCATGAACATCTGAAAACATCTGTTTTGTGACACTAATTACATATCCTTTTCCTCTATTACTTTTTAACATATATTTTCTAAAATATCGATATAGTTAAAATTGTTAGCATGAGTCACATTCATTTATCACACTGTTGAGCAGGGAATTGGCAGCCAGAGACATGTAACACACTGGTTAAGGATTGCCTTGGAGAGGGGCGTTGGGAACACCTCAGGGAAGGGCACAACTGAGGGACAGTGTGCTGCAGCCACTCCCTTCAGCAGACTGTGTCTGCCGTGGTGTCACACGGGAGAGCTGCTGGAGTGACAGCAGTGTGGCTGGAGAAGGCACACAAAGCAGGGGAGAGTTTTCTCAAAGCAATGTCTCTGCTCCAGAAGCATTTGCTCTTGTTGTGTCATTCCAGACATGCCTCTACAATGGTATCAAGTAAGGTAGCAATAATTGCAAGAAAGCACCCATTTAAAGCTCACGGAAAAAGGAGATACCAACGCTACTTTTACCCAAGTTGCTGAGAAAATAACCAAACCTTATCCTCATTCAGCAGTCACCTCATTTGTCTTTTTCCTAACTTCTCTGTTACTTTATTTTTGCCTTTACCTCTGTTAGAAATGCACTCACATTTAAATACAATTAAAGGGCACAAAATCATTGGAGCAAAAGGAAACTGTTTATTAGTAAGGACTCAGTGAGCCGGGCGTGTCTCCCTCCCCCTGGAGATGAACAAACACACCCTCTGAGAAAATGGCAATCTTTCTATCCCCTTTATACCCGGCCAGGGCTGTCCCTGTCCCCTTTCCCTTTGGACGGGTACTTGGGAACTTCCATTCTCTCCAAACGCCAGTTTTTCTGTCCCCTCCCCTCTCACCCTGCTTCCTTTTGGTCAGGTCTTCAACCCCATTCCTCTCCCAGCAACACCCAACAAACCAACCTGAACAAATCCAAACCACAAACAACACAGAGAATCAACAACTTTCTTTCTTTAACTTGATGACCTTTTGGCTTCAGCCAAATATCACCTCATCTCTCACACCTCCTCTGGTACTGTTCTCTTCTTACTGATGCCTAAGTTCTAGACCAAAAAAGGTATTTGCAGTTGTGTGGGCCTCGGTTTCCCTGTGCCAGAGTGAAGGACATCGCAAAATCGTTTCCCATGGAGTTTGATGTAAATGTCTGGGTTTTACTTACTCCATGAGTGCTCAGGCAGTGCCCCAGAGCTCTGTGACCACATGGGTACAGGGCTGTGCTTAAGGTAAGTGCTGCCTGGCATTCTGGAGAAGGAAAGCTGGAGAAATACACACCAAAAGAGCAGCTTGGCTCCAGCCTGCTCTGTGTGGCCCAGCAGCTCTCCATCAGCTCAGAGCAGAGGTGGGTGAGCCACTGTTTGCCCAGTGTGTTGCTCACCCAGAGGCTGCACTTCAGTGGGGATCAGTTAAGATTGTCCTTCGTGAGTCTTCCTCCCAGCAGCTGAAGCTCTCCCTCCTTCCTCTCGCCTCTCCAGCTGCCATCAGCTGCCCCGAAGCAGAACTTGTTGCAGATTTCCCCACCAGAGGTGATATTTCAGAACTTCGACACTCATGATGTCTCTGAAATGACAGTGTCTCTCATGAATGTGGACAAGGTAAGTGCTGGCACATGGAGCTGTATCGGTTTCTCTGGGTCAGGATTGAAGGCACTTGAGATGGTAGTTCATGTTCAGACTCAGGTGTTTATTATTTCTTATCAGTAAAACAGTCTCACAACCATGAGTTGGGCAGCTTTTCATTAGCAAGGCTCAAAATGGCTAACAATCTCTTGATACAAGGTCTTTTAAGACTAAGCTATCCAATTAAGAAAGGACACCTGGATTATTTTCCCTTTTAACCCAATAACTGATCCCTGGAAGCACGCAATGCAGACTTTTCTGCCCAATTAAAAAATGCCACCCAAACCCATGAAGAAGAAGGAAGAAGAAGCATGAAGAAGAAACTCACAGTTGAAAGTGCTTTGGAAAAGGGGTCAAGGAGGGATGACACCAGGGCATGGACAGGTCTCCTCTCGTCCTGTTTCCACAAGTGGCAAAATCATTGTTTCATGTCTTTCCTGCAGTTTCCTCATGCGGTGAAGGTCTGCATGGAGAGATCACCTTACTTCCAGCTCACGGGTTCCAACGATGCCTACCGTCTCCTGCTGCCGGGAGCATCTGCCCTTGTGTGCATCCGCTTCACCCCCGAGGAGAACAAGGTGAGACTGGAGGAGCCAAAACACAGAATTCTCTCCAAAGCCACTGTTTTCCCTGCACTCTGGGTTCAGCCCATTCCATGCTGTGAGCTTGGCTCCAGGCCATGGGCAGGTAGCCTGCAGCCAGTCCCACCTTGGCACGTGCTGCCAGGCACTGCAGCCAGGCCTGACAGGCTCTGCTTCCCCTCCCTGCACATCCCTGAGCATTCCCAAGGGAAGATGCACAGGGAACAGTGAAAATGACAGGGGGGTGTTGATACATCTTCAGCCACCGCTAGGTACAGTGGAAGGGGTTTCATTATGATGGAAAACACTAGAGGAACAAAGAGGTCAGAGAGCTTTCCTCCTTCCCAGCTGGCAACAGCTTCCCTGCCTCACCCTGGGCTGGAGCAAGGACAGTGCTTTTTTACACCCTCTGTTCTCCAGCCATGCAGCTGTGCTGTCCCAGAGCACAGCTGACCATGGTACAGCTGCAGGGCCAGGGCAGAGCATGTGCTGTGCCCGTGAGCCTGGCCTGGCACAGGCACACTGGGCTCGGGGTGCCCTAGGTCAGCAGGAGGTTGCTGAGCTGCAGGGGACTTGGACCCTGCCTGCAGGAGCTGGTGTAGGGCAGGTCCAAGCTGCAGGCAGAGCTGTGAGCCCAGAGCCCATGGCATGACACTGCTGTGGCTCTGTCTTCATGCCTGTGCCTGTGCTGGCTCTGTCAGCTGGCACCCCTTCCGTGCCAAACGTGCTTTTGTGGGGAGATTTGAACACCAGTGCTGAGTTCCTGGCAAGTCTGATCTCAGTGCTGGGATCTGGGGGGTCAATGTTGTGATCATACAGAAGGGTTTAGGACGTGGCATGGAAGGGAGGAAGCCTTGCAGGGAAACAAAGAGAGGCTCTTTCCAGCAGCATGCTAGAAAGCACTGTTAGCACTGCTCTCCTCCTGACTTGGTTGGAGAGGCAAAGTTGGAGGGGAGTTCTGAGCCAAATGATGTTTCTACACCAAGCCAGAGGTGCAGGAGCTCTTTGGGTGCAGCTGTTTTCTCATTTTTTTTTGCTGCTTCGAGTCAGTTTAACACTTTGTCCTATTCTCAGACAGTGGGAATATAGAAACCTAAAGAGGAATGTCCTGTGTTCCCCAGCTCCATGTTCCTTAGAAGGGACTTAGGAATTATTTAACATCATTAAACTTTAGGGCAGTTCTCTGGATGACCAAGTGACAGAAGAGCTTAATGCCACTGAGATAGGTTTTGCAAAGTGCACTAGTGCCTTTAAAATGTGACATATTAGTAGAGCTTAGTGTTCATTTAGGGTGGGATAGGTAAATTGATGCCCTTGAAGGGTTATAGGAAGTGGTTTTTCTTCTGCCATGGGGACGGCACTAAATGCCCTGTGCTGAGCCAGTTTCTTTTCCTGCAGGATTATTCCCACGAGCTCGTCTGCGTCACTGAAAGGGAAAGGATAGTTGTGCCAATTCGGGCCATTGGTGCCCAAGCTGTCCTGGACTTCCCTGAGCAGCTGGACTTCTCCAGGTGTCCAGTCAAGCGCAGCACCCAGAAGACTCTGCTGCGCCGCAGCTCTGGTAACCAGGCAGCCCATTACCAGCTGAGCACCCAGAGGTCTCAGGATGTGATAAATGGACTGATCCACAGAACTGCTAATACAGCTCAAAGCTGTGAGCCTTCCTGCTGTCACCTGTGGTTTGCTCTGTTCCTTGTGCTTCCATCAGCCAGTGAGCTGAGCAAAGACTCCCCTTTGCTTTGTTCCAGGCGAAGAAACTCTCCACACAAACCTCAGTGGAGAAGCTGTAGATGTCAATGCTGAGTTGAACACAAATTTTGTGGAGTTTGAGAAGATATACATCACCAAGTCAAGCCATACAACCATATTCGTCGAGAACAAGAGTAACATCACAGCCCACTTCCAGTGGAAGACTTTTCCTGCTGAGGAAGATGAGAACCAAGAGAAGAGGAGGTTGGTTTGAAAGATGCATTTCAGTGGGATACATGGCCCAAGACTAAAACTGACGTGTGGCCTCAGGGGGGTGTTGGTGCTTCTGAATGGTTTAGGCCAAGTAAACCATCCCTGGCACCAGGGTGTGTGTCCCTGGGCTTCAGGAGCTCAGCACTTAGCATTCCAGTTCCATTTATACTCCAGCCAAGGAGGGCATTTTGGGAAGGAAATTTGGTTGCAATGACTGGATTTCCTCAGGTTCTAATTGGCCTTTTGCCTCTCTAATCTTCTTCCTACACAGCCTACCAACATCCTTAAACAGTTCACCCTCTTTCCAAAGGCGATACACCCTCTTTTATCCCTTAGTTCCTTCAAAAGCTCCTTGCCCATCCAGGCTGGTTGTCTTCCCTATCAGCTTGTCTTTCAGCACACATGGACAGTCTGTTCCTGTGCCTTCCAGACTTCTTTCTTGAAGCATGTCCATCCTTCATGGACCCCTTTGTTTTTAAGGGCTGTTTCACAGGGTACTCTCCAAATCAGTCTCTTGAACAGGCCAAGTCTGCCCTCCTGAAGGCCAGAGTGGAAGTTTTGGTTGATGCCCCTCCTCGTTTCACCAAATATTGAGAACTCTATTATTTCACGGTCACCGTAGCCCAGACAGATGAAGTTCATTTAGTCATTAGGCAATGTCCTGGTGATATCCAGCACCTGGACCCAGGGAGGCAGCAGACTGCCCTGTGGAATGGATCCAGTCAATACACAGGGCCCTCAGCTCCCCTTAGAAGGGAGTCACCTGCTACCAGTACCCTTCTTTTCTTCTCAGTACTTGAGAGTGTGCTGTGTCTGACAGACCAAGTGCAACTGGGAGACTCTCCAGACAGAATTTTTTTCTTTAGTGTCATCTGCCTGACCCTCTGGAGCCAGGGCCTCATACCTGTTCTGTCAGGGCACCTGGGGAGGTGATGGGGGTCAGGATGGGATTTTATTACCTGCCCAGTAGAGACCCACTTCCATTCCCCACTGTTTCCTAGGTCTCCTCCTTCTGCCTGTTCCCAAGAAGGGCAGGGCTCCTCTGACTCCTGCTGAGCTTCTCTCAGGGTTGGACAGGTGTAACTCTACCAACAGTTTATTTCTGTTTCACTCCCCCTAACGCTCCTCAGCCTTTCCAGTTCTTCCTTAAGCTCTGCCACTGGACAGAGCAGGCCATTCACTCAGGTGTCTTTTGCACTGTCCTCTGATATTAACACCAGGCTCAGACCCTCCCTGCAGCCAGGGGCCTGGACAGCTGCATCCTTCCTGGGGAGTTCTGTTTGAGTTCCTACACTCCTGCTGGCAGCTGCAGCAGCAATGGCTTTTCATCATTTGTAAACCATAGCTGGAGAAGGAGGGGGGGGGGGGGGGGGGGGAGCAGAAAGAAGAAAGAAAGAAGAAAAAAAAAGGCAAGCACCTCATAACCAGCAAAAAGACATAGCCCACTACACAAGGAGGATGAGTGGCTGCACCCTTTCTGCTCAGCCTGTTTGTGCCAACTGCCACGCAAAAACTGAGAAATGCCGTGCCAAAACTGCTGGGCCAAAACTGCTGTGGCAAGCCTCTGTTTGCTGCGGGCCAGGTCACTTGCACTCCCAGAGCCATTTTAAATTGCCTGCAAAAGATCAGGAGATCAACCCTTGCCCACCTGAATGGCTGGTGAGAGGCTCCTTTAGTGCCCTGGGCTTCTTGGTTTTCCACTCTTCATGATCTCCTTGCACAGTGCCTGACTTCCATACAAGCTCTGGGTGTTAAAAAGAAATCCCATTACCTTCTCTGGCTACTTCCCTGGGCTGTTTATTTCCATTTTTTTCCCACTTTCCTGCCTCAGGCATGGTTGTAGCTCTAAGGCCTCTGTCCTGCTGTCAGAGCAGCTTTTGAGATCTCAGAGCAGAGAGGACTTTTTGAGGAGAGGAGATCACACAGGATCCTTTCCCTCTCAGGGCATTCTACTGCCATGCACTGGGATGGGACCCAAAAAGCTCTGGATCATGAAAAGATCTCTCCAGGAGTTTGCTGTCTCCGTCCTGCACAACAAAGTCCCTTCCCCTCTCAGAGCCTCTGTTTTCATGCATACAGAACCTTGACTGTCACTCTGAAGGGGTGTGGTGCCTGAATTCATCAATTTCCTTTGGATGCTCTGGGATGCTCTTGTGAAAGGCAGAGTAGGGAACAGGGCAGGTCCAAAATGGAAGAAACAAAGAGTGCTGCTTGTGAAAAACACCAATCACTTGTGTTAAAATGTTTTAATGTTTAATAGTAATAAAATAGTTATAAAATAGTAATAAAAATTAGAGTAGTAACATTTTGGACAATCAGAGTTAGGACAATAAAGGGACAATAAAAAAGCAAAGAATTACAGACATCTGGGTGCTCTGCTCTGCCACAGAACACGTTTTGCTAAGAAAGGATTAACCCTTAAAAGCAATAGCCTGTTGCATATTCATCTATCTCATACATGATGCAAACATTCTTTTCAAACAAAGGGTGTTTTCTGTTTATTGTCAACTTCTTTCCTCATCTTGTAAATCAGTCGTCTTGGTCCCTCAAAGTCTGGTTCTCCCCAGTAAGGAGGTAATAATTCTTCTCGTGGGATTTTGGGTGTCTTGTTGCTGTTATCTCTCCTTGAACTAGTTAGTAAAAGGATCTTACACCACATAGTTTCTGTAGCCTAAAACTATATGCACCACACTACTTAAAAAGATTAGTACAGCACTATAAAACAGGATTAATGCAACATAACTTTCCAACATCACACATATAGTATTCATTTTCATATTTGCAAAAAGCTAATAATATAATAGGCATTTTTCACGGTGCTGGTAACATGGAGCTGCAACCCAGCTCTGTCTCCCCTCCCCAGGGAAGTCCTGCTCCATGATCTTTATCTGCCTCTCCCAGCAGCTCAGTAGTAGGGGAAAAGCCACTTGAAGTGGCTGGTGGATTGTCCCTCAGTTTTGGCAGAGGCTTTGAGCCAGGAGGTTTCCTTGAAGGATTCTGGCTTCGGAAACCTCTCCTGAGCTTGCAGGTGTGGAGTAAAACTACCTGCTGTGCCAGTGAACAACAAGTTATCCTCTGATCCCTCTGGGACCCCCAGGGCTTGGGGTCAGCTCTTGCTGGAGAGCGGCTGCTTGTGAGAAATAGACACTCACTTTTCATAAGTTTAGAAAGGTTGATTAAACCTTATCAAAAATACAACAGAAGACTGGATAGAGAAGATGTTACGGCGCCCGGAGAAAAGGATTTTCCCCACCATGTGCTTGCCCACGCAATGGGCGTTTTACCTTTTAACCCTTTAGCCCCTCCCAAAATTCTGTCCATTGACCCCTTCTTCACTGTCCAGTGGTGGAGTTTACTTCCTCCAATCTTGATTGGAGGTCAGATGTCACCATGGTGACAAGCTGACCCTCCCAAATATCCCAACCCCAGCTGTCCCTTGATAACAACTCAGGGGGTAAAAAAACCTTTTCTTAACCTTCAGACAAATTATATTTGTCTGTTAATTGTGAGAGTCAGTCATGGCACTGCTCATCTGTCACACTGCTGCTCCTCCCCAGGTGCTTTGCTCTCCTGCACTCGCACTTCTCTCTGCAAATACATGGCTTCTTAAAGGACCTGCTGTCTTTGTCTCTCCTCTGGCTGCAGGCAGTGTCTTTTTCTGCAGTCACAGAGTGAGCTGTGTCTGGAAGAATTAATGGAGGAGAAAGAAACAGGGAAGGAGAAGGGCTCTTGTGAAGATCGTGCTGCCCTCCCGAGGGCCCCGGAGGAGAAGGCAAAGGTGCACCAGGACCCCATGTTCTCTGATGACGTTTTTTTCATTGAGCCAATGGTAAGTGATAGCTGAGGACCTCATTTTCCTCCTCTTCCTCCTCCCACCCACTCCAACCCTGGCTGTGGTCACTCGGCAGATCCTCAGCTGGCCCCACATGCTGGGAGGGAGGACATTGAGTTTCTGGTGCAGCTGCAGAGCTCGCCTAAAACTGCTAAAATGCTCAAAGCATTTCTGCCCTGGAGGCTCAAGGCAGGGCTGGGAGCCTGACAAAGCTGAGCTCTGCTGCCAGGGCTCGAGCTCAAGGGCACTCCGTGCGTGTCCTTGCAGTGTCACAGGGAGCAGTTCTTGTAGGTGGGGGCTCCCCCAACACGTGGGGTTCAGCAGAGGCTGTTGGAGCACTGCCAGCTCACATTCTGACCTAAAGCTTGCAACGGTTTGCTGGGAAAAGGAGGCCAAACTCAGCCCAAGGTTAATCATAGAAATGCCAATCCCCTCCTGTAACCACACCTTACACTATTTCTGAGTGTCCCTTCCAGTGTCATCTGTGAGCCTGGACACAAGGGTGGAAGGTTTCCATGGGCCTTTTCAGTTCTCCTGCACACAGGGACAGAAAACCTTTTCCTTTTCTGTTTATGCAAGCAAACTGACATGTGCTCCCATCAAGCAGAGCCCTGGTTCTGAGTACTGGCATTGTGAGAGATGATGAATGCCTGGTGTCTGCACAGTGCAAAATCCCTTCTCATCTTGGAGTAAACCCCAGAATAATCCCAACCTCTGCTTTCTTTCAAAACAGGTTAAACTAATATTTTTATTTCTGAGGGAGGGGATCATGTTCTCTCCTTGTGAAGAGCCACCAGTGCACAGTGGCAGTTACATCCCATTGTAGCTGACAGCAGCATGATGTTGACCAAGAGCTTGTGTAGGAATATTGTGGAGAGAGGGAGCTGATCAGCTGAGCACTGAGAGCTTCCAGCGGTGTGTTGAGCTGGGTTTGGAGTGTTTCCTTGGCTCCTTGTGTTGCTCACTCATCATTGATGCTCTGAACCAAGGCTTACAGGACTGTGGTTGAAAACGAGAAATGTGAAGTTTGAAGGGAAATGTTTTGCTGTTTCTTTCTGTTGTAGGAGGGAGAAATCGGGCCGAATTGTTCGGCCGAAATCAAGGTGACCTTCAAACCCCTGGAAGCAGTGGAGTATCAAAGTGTGGCTTACTGCAGCATCTCAGGTACAGCTCCTTTGCCCTGCTTCTCTCCCCCTCAGTGAAGCCATGGTGCAAGCCTGAGCCCACTGGGCTCCCATGGAACTGCTGGGAAGAGTCCCTGGTCAGCAGGGCAGTGCTGGCACATCCCCAGTGGCCCTGCAGCTTCCAGGGAGTCTCCTGTGCAAGACCAGGGCTCAGAACACCTGTGTGAGGGTTACTGATCCCAGAACAGAACACCTGTGTCTGGATTACTGCTCCCAGAACAACCCAGGCAGTGCAGGGAGAGGTTTTCATGCCATGGCTTTGCCAGCATTTCCTCAAAGGCCAGAGAGCTCCAGAGCAGAACAGCTTTGGTGAACAAGCACTAAGCCCCTCTAGGCCACTGACCTCCAGAGTGTCTCCATTTGACATGGATCCATCATCAGGCAGCAGGAGCTGAGTTAGAAATGTGCTCCCTGAGCCTGGCTCACCTCCCACTGCCCAGACACCAGCAGAGGTGGCTGAGCCCCACTGAGCCCAGGGTGTTGGTAGAAGGAGCACCCTTGGCCAGCATCTGCTTCTCTCCCTGTGTGGGAGTTGTCACCTTGCAGCTCTCAGTCTGTGGAAATAGAACACAGTGCTGAGTGTCAGGAGTTGGGGACTTTGACAACAAAGTCGTGTGCTGCTGGGCCAGGTAGTTTGGCAATTGATGAGCTTGATGTGCCTGCACTGCGTGGATTTAAAGCTCCTCTAAGTGCATGGGAAGAAAACCACAGAATCACAGTATGTTAAGGATGGAATGGACCTTAAAGGCCTCAGGGCAGGGACACCTCCCACTAGATCAGGTAGCTCCAAGCCCCATCCAGCCTGGCTTTGAACTCTTTCAGGGCTGGAACCTCCACAGTGCCCCTGAGAACCTCCTCCAGTGTCTCACCACCCTCACAGCAAAAAATGTCTTCCTAATATCTAACCTAAATTTCCTTTCTTTCAATTTATACCTGTTACTCTTTGGCCTGTCACTACAGGACAGCAGAGATGTTTTACACTCAGCAGACTGGTGGCTGAAATTGGAAACCAGCCCAAGCAATGGGTTAGAAATTAGAAGTCAGCCCCAAGGCTGAGGGAAGAGAAGGGTCCATATCTTCTCCTGCAGCATCAGGAGCTGGTTGCATCCAGCTCAGAGTCAGGGACTAGCATTGAGGCAGCCTGGAAAATACTGTGTAACAGAGGGAATGATTGTACTGAAATGAACATCTCTCCCCAGGCTGTGAGAGCAGGCTGCCCCTGCACCTCACAGGGGAAGGCCAAGGACCCTTGGTTGAGCTCAGCTCTCCTACACTGAACCTTGGCAACGTTTCTGTCGGCACTCCCCACGTTTCTGAGGTGAGCAGCAGGGCTTGGGGTGGATCCTGATGGCTCCTGAGGCAACAGCGAGCTTGGTGGAGCTGTGGAATTCCTGCCAACCTGGGCAGTTGTGAGCAGGGAATATTTGACATACTGGTCAAACCTGGGGGCGTCTGAAAGGTGTGTGTTGTTCATGAAGCCCCAGACCCTGCTTTGGGGATCAGCTTGGGAGGCTTCCTGCACAACAACCCCTTGGCACATGAAACCAACACTGAGCCAAAAAGCTGCATGTTCAGAGGCTTTTGTGGCAGTGCCAGACACAAGGCACCTTTGGACTGGGCTGTTGAGAAGCAGCTGGAACAAACTGGCTGCCTTTGAGCCTCAGTCCACTGCAAACAGCTTCCAGGCAAGTGTCTCCTGCTTACTCCTGGAAGTCACAGAAAAGCCATCCAGCCTCTGGGCTCAGTGCTGGCCCTTGCAAAGGGCTTGGGAGTTCTTTCCCTTGCTGACCAGTCCCTCACCACACTTCAGCCTTGGTGCATGTCTGACTCTAGAAAGAGAAAAGTGCTCCTGGGAATAAAGCAAAGGATTTTTCTACCTGTTTGCCTCCCCCCCAATAGTGTCAAGTTTGCAAAAAGAACGAAGAGAGAGAAACTGAAAGACAGAAAATGGAGCACTACATCATGCCAGACACTTCCAAAAGCTTGGCTGTGGAGGGGAAAGACATGCTGAGTTTTCTTACCAAAAGATGGTGCTGCCTATACATTTTGATGCTGATGCCTCATAATCAATGTATTGTTTTCATGACATGGGAAAAGCTGAATGAGTAGGTGGTACTGCTGGAGCTGTGCTAACTGGGGCAGCAGCAGCTCTGTGGAGATTCACTAGGCAGCTGCAATCACCCCCCGTTGCTCCCAGGGCCAGGTCTGAATGAGCTTGGTGATGCTGCCCAGAGGTGCACTGCTCTGTGTCCATGGCATAACCCCAGGGTTATGGACTCCAGTTATGTGGAGATACCACTGCTTTGCATGAAAACCCAAAGGCAGAACTTGTCCTGTTGTATTTTTTTTTTTTTAATTTCTACCATCCAAAGCATCATCTGCCTTTTCTGGGTGTTAATTGTATCATTAGACAAGAGTTCACAAGAAGGGAAGGTTCCGCATGTATTTCATTTTGCTTTCTTGCTGCTGCAGGTGGAACTGATTAACCTAGGAGCTATTGATGCTCCCTTCACCTGTATCCCTTCAACTGCAAACATGGGCTTCTGCTTCAAGTTTGCACCCGAGGAGGGCATCATTGCAGCAGGTGGGACCCAGACTATTCAGATCTCCTTCAGTGCCACCGTAGTGGGGACGTTCGAGGAAGAATTCCAGTTCAGTGTGGCTGGATCTCTTATGTCTGCAATCCTGACTATCAAGTAAGGACTCTGGGACCTTGGTGGGCACATCTGGGACATCCCCATCCCCTCATTTTGGGGTTGGGCAGAGGAAAGAGGTGTTTCCTGAGGTCTTAATCTCTGCTCTGATCCTGGCACTACTTTAGTGTGAGGATGCCTCCTGCCCTGTGTGGGTACCTGGGAGCTGGAATGACTCCTCCCTGCAGGGATCTCCCTCTGCCTTGGGCCATGGCAGGCAGTGGGATGGATCAGCTCTGGGCAGCAGCTGCTCTGGGATGTCCCACCTGAACAAGGTGCAGGGCCCCCAGGGCTTTGGAGATGGGCCAGCCTGGGTGGTTCTGCAGCAGCAGCAGTGTTTGTAAAAACTTGTGTTAATAATCCATGCCAGATGGGCAGCAGCAGCCTCACCGCACCTCTCACGGCCATGCTGTGGGGCACAAGCTGTGCTCCCAGCTCCTGTGCACAGAGTGCTCTGGTGCCTCCTTTGCCCAGCCAGCAAAGGGCTGATGTGGGAGTCAGGGAACTGTGCGGCAGCAACTGTCCCAAGGACTTGGGCATCATCCCCTGGGCTGGTGCCATGGCAAGAGACAATCCTGGCCCAGCACAAGGGAGAAGGGGTGATCACAGGGGAGGCAGAGCTCAGTGCTCAGGGGCACAGCAGCATGGGGCCTTGTCCCTGCCAGCCTGAGCCATGTGCTGGCAGGATAATGCAGTGGAAGCAGGAGAGCTGATGCTGGCTGCTCTGCAGCTTTGGAGCTAGGCTGCTGCTGTTGGGAGGCACTGGGTCACGGCAGTAAAGAAATTAAAGCAATCTGCACCTGATTATACCAATGAGATAAGGGAGATGGATGAAAGAGAACAAGAAAGTTATTACTGAGCAAAAGTGGTGAGTAGGTCTTCCCATAGTAGAGAAACAAGTATGCTGGCTTTGTTCTTGGAGGAAAAGTGCTGCTTTTTTGCTCTGGAAATTAAGAGGGAAGCTTTCACCATCAAAGAATTGATTCTTCTCTGTCCCTCCCCCAAAATGCTCATGGGATGTTTCTGCATCAGCAGCTTGCTTCTTGAGCAAGGGCAGGTGTCCCTTGTTGAGATGTGTAGAGCAGAGCCAGGGGCAGTCCTGTGAATCCAACAGAAGGCACAGGTCACTGCTCCTTGATTTTTAACCAAAGGGCAGAGTGGGCATTGATTGGCATCAACCATGAAATAAAGTCATGAGTGTTGTGCAGCTTCAAGTGCTGCTTTCAGTGGATGCTGGTCACTTTTGGAGACTGAGTTCAAGCACGGGTGAGCTGGTGTGGTAGAGTCAGGACAGCCTTGTTTGGTTGTTGAAGCTATTGCTCTTGGCTGTGCCAGCTGGTGCATTGGTGACAGGATTCGTCTGTCTCCTGTGTAGAACTGTTGCTGCTCTTTTCAGAGGATGTTTGGGGCTCCCCTGGCTTCATGTCTCAGAGCTCTGTCTAGAATGATTGTGTGGGTCAAACTCTCCTGAGAAAGCTCCTCCATTACAGATGGGGAAACTGAGGCACGGAGCCATGTCTGGCTGTGCGTTCAGGGTCCTTCATGGGACCACCAGCATCCCGGGGGCTTTTCCTGCCTGCCCTGTGCCCAAAGCCCCATCAGTGGCTGTTGGCTGCTGGCCACTTGGCTTTGGCTGCCTCCTGTCCACAGGGGCACTGTGCTGAGCACCTGGTGCTGTGTTGGTTTGAAACCCACAGTGCCCTGACACCAGGTTTTACACCCCTGAGCCACAACAGCTTAGCTTTAATTCCCTTTAACCAAGCCATTTCCTCCTCTGTCCTCGCCATCCAGGGGGTGTGTCACCGAACTGAGGTCATACCTTGAGGTCAACAAGCTCAACTTGAGGCACATCCCCCCTGGTGAGTGTTCCCTGGGCTGGGACACAGCCTGGGGGATCTGTGTGTTCCAAAATGGAGCACTTAAAGATAAAAGTATCTGTCACTCATGGTCTGCCACAGCAGCCTCTTCAGGGTGTGAGCTCCGAGACTGCTGGGTGCCTCCGGCAGTGTTTTGCCATTGTGAGATCAAATGGAAAGGAAGGAATAGAAAGTATTTTCTGGTGTCCATGTCCTGGTTTAAAAGACAGCTGTCTGCTAAGGAAAGCAGGAATCTTCCTGGAATGCAAAGATCACCCCCCTCCCTCCAAATTATTATACCTGTGAAATTACAGGCTTCCAGACAAAAAGATGGGAAAAGGAATAGCAGTTCTTTACTAGAATCTATCAGCACAAACATCAACACAACAAGAGAAGTTTCCAACCCGCCATGTGCTGTTTTTCCCCTTTGGTGTAGTTAGGATCACAGGCAGGAGGAGCTGTGGGCTCTGGCAGGGCAGTGATCCTCTCCCAGCCAGCACTGGCAGGGAAGGAAGGAGGGAAGGCAGGAAGAAAGGAGGAAAGGCAGGAAGGAAAGCAGGAAGGAAGGCAGGAGGGAAGGCAGGAAGGAGGGAGGGAAGGCAGGAGGGAAGGCGGGAAGGCAAGCGGGAAGGCAGGAAGGAAGGCAGGAAGACAGGCAGGAAGGCAGGTTTGATCACAGTGGGGAAGGCAGGAAGGAGGGAGGGAAGGCAGGAGGGAAGGCGGGAAGGCAAGCGGGAAGGCAGGAAGGAAGGCAGGAAGACAGGCAGGAAGGCAGGTTTGATCACAGTGCTGAGCTGCAGCCCAGGGCAGTCCCAGGGCCAAGCACACAACCTCCCGCAGCAGCACGCAGCTGAGCCTCTTTCCCCGAGCAGGAGGAAGGGAACCTCCACTCCCTGCCCAACATCAGCCCCCACTGCACAGCGCCCACGGCATCAACAGCACAACTCCCAAAAAACCCTGAATGGAAAAGCCCAGCCCCATGGCCAAAACCCCCAAAACCCCTATCCCCCTTCCCAGACCAAGGGGAAAGTTCCCTACGAAGCCTAAACCCATAACAATGAAGTTAATGAACTTTTGGAAAAAACTAATTGCCTTTCCTGAGCTGCTTCTTCCCCACCCTGCATCACCACTGAGGCACTCATTAAGTTGCCTTTTGAACAAATGTGTTAGGAAAATTAATCCACAAACATCAGAGGTTTATGTCGAAAAAGGAGACAGAGGAGTCCTTTTACTTTATTGGAATAAAGGGAGAGGCCATGGGACATTCCCCTGGGATCTCTCAAATTTTTGGAGGACTCAGCCTCCCTTTTAATCCCAATTTCCTGGCCGCATTTCCCTTCTCTCTTCCCTCATAGGCTGAGGTACTTGAGAGGTACAGACTTCCACATACACCTGATACCAAAGATTTCCCTCTAATGTATAACCTTCCCTTTTAATTTTTAATTGATATGGAATGTAGGGACTTTTCTTTCCCATTGTTTCTTTCATCTTTCAAAGTCTAATTTCATTTATCAGCAACCCTAACGTTTATTTGTAAAAGCAAATATCTTTTTCCATTTGTTAATCAGTGGAATCCTTCCCATTGTTTCTTTTATCTCCCACTGCTAGTTTTATCTACAAGCAGACCCACAGCTTGTTTGTAAAGACAAATCTACTATTCCTCTCAAACAAAACAAGAAAGGCAGCAGTAATCACAGTGGCCAGCATGGGTGTGAACTCACGTTGACTCACTGTTTATATGTCCTGAAAACAGGAATGTTGGCAGACTTAAGAGGGAATTTTACAGCTTGAATTTTCAGAGTAAATGCTCGGTCTGGGTGCACACTCATCACGGAGAGAAAACTGGTGCTGGTTTGGGGCAGGTGAGGCAGCTCCTCCCCATCAGAGAGAGAAGCTTGCAGAGTTGAGCAGGGCTAAGAGTGGGCATTTTCAAGGCTGCAGTCTGGAATCAGTGTCAAAGGGAACTCAGTGACGATTAATTCCTCATGCTGGGTGAGCTGTAGTTCAGATAACAAAGAGCTGAACTCCAATCCCACTTTCATCCTGCCAGGACATTCACACCAGGAGTCATGCCATAATTGGTGCCTCAATGAATATTTGTGTCCTTTTCCTAGCCTCTCGCTCCACCAAGATCCCTTGCCCCACTGACACCTCCTTGGTGCACCGTACCAGCCTTTATGAAAAAGGCTGCTACCCAAATCTCAAAATCCACCCCAGCAGCCTGGAGTTTGGCTGCCTCACGGATGGCGCTGAAGAAGAAGTGCGTTCTCTGGAGATGACCAACTACACCTCACTTCCTGTCCACTACCAGTGGTCAATCTACTCCGAGAGCCAGAAGTGCAGGTATGTGCACCTTTGCCCTCTCCTTGGAGCTCTTTTCCCTGGTGCCCTGCTTGTACTTGGCAAAGAACAAAGCTGTTTGCCTGGGATCTGACAGACTGCTTCTGGCTTTTCCTTGTTCAGATAACTGACCAGCTGTGGTCGGGCTGGATGCTCAGGGAATAGGTTTTCCACCAGTTTGGTGCTGCATAGCCCCCATAGTGGTTTCCCCTGGGAAGGAAAGCTGGGCTGAAAGCTGCTTCCTTAGACCTCTGTGGCCTGAGGCAATGTCCACCTTGATGAAGGGCTCCTAGTCCCAGCTCCCAGAGTGCTGCTGGAGGCCCTTTTGGCCCCTCTGCTTTGGGATGGATCCTCTCTGCAGTTGCTGCTCTCTGCTCCTTGCCTTCCTCCCTTGCATTGTGCTGGAGGATGCCCAGCAAGTCCCAACACCAGAGGAAGAGCTACCTAGTGCCTGGGCTGATGCTGAACATCTTGTTCCCTTCCCTTTCCTTCTTTTCTGAGATAACTCCTGTACTGCCAGGACAATTTCTTTCCCAGGGGTCAGCATTCAGGGCACACCTTGGATTCTTCACTCCCTTTTTCTTGTGACACTTGTTACTCCTTTTGACTTTTCCCCTGCAACATGTCCCTTACGAGTTCTGTGCTGCTTGACAGCAGGACTTGTTCATCACATCATCTCCTAGCCCTGCCTCCCAGAGAGTTTCTACTTTAGAGTGGAAAATGTCATTGTCTGGGCACCATGGTCCTGGGAAGTTGCCTCAAACCATTCATTAAAACTACAGACAGTGGAGTAGATGATTAGGGATCTCTTGGGGGTTATGAGACTGCCCCTCAGGCAGAAATGAAACGCAGCCTTAGGTCACAAGCCACAAAGCTAAAGACAGTGATTCTTTGGGGAGCAGGTCATTGCAGGCACTGAATGCCTGTCTGGGAATGGAGCATCCAGGTCATGTTTGACTGTGGGGAGCACTTGCAGCTCAGCAGGGTGACAGGCAGGCGTGGCTCACCTGTGTCCCTCACATGGCATTAGAAACACAAGCAGAGTTACCCTGAGCACCTGCTTCAATTTAAAATGGGGAATGTGACCTGAGTCACCTGGGAGTGTTGGAAAATGTCAGCCAACCCCCCAGCAATGTCAGGGGAACATTCCTGATAAATACCTGGTGGAGCTGCAGAGTTTCTGGCCTTGGGCCCTGGGGTTTGCTGTGCTGGCTGGTCACTGGCTGGGTCTGCCCCTTGGTGCCTCAAATCTCACCTTTTTGCTTGCCTTCTCTGTCCTTCCCTCTCCCACTGTGCTTTTTGCATCCCCACAAGGTGTTCATCCCTGTCCTCTGTAGTTGCTCAATGCAAGCAGTTGCAGCTGCCTGCACTGCTGCTACCTCAGTGTCATCCCTGGGCTGCCTTTAGAACAGACCTGCTCCAGCCTGGACTGGGAAGGGCTGGATCAAACCATTTCTCAGTTCAGTGTGCCAGCACCCACCCAGGGGCTGCATCCTGAGCAGGAGCTGCTCGTGCAGGTGTCCCTTCCTCCCACTGCAGGTCCATGTTAATGGCTATGTTATTTCCTGGATGTGGGCGTTACTCATCTAAATTCACACCGCAACCACCAAAGGAGAAGAGACCCTGTGTTGGTTCCTTGGCACATCAGAGGAGATGCATCACCATGAGAAGCGTGGAGAAGCCAGTCAGAGCCCTGAAAGAAGAGCAGGATTTTATTCAATCTTCAGGAGCAGAGGTAGATTTGCTTGTACACCTACTGCTTGTGTTGCCTCCCCAGCTTGCCAGCAACAAGTCACACTCATGCTGACCTCCCCTTTTGCTGCTCTGCTGTCCTGTGCCCTGACAGTCGGGCAGCAGGGCCCGTGGCTGGGTACGGGGTGTGTGGGAGGGAGAAATAGGAGAGTTTTCTTGGAGAAGCCCGCTCAGATCCTACAGACCTGTGTTGAGTGTGGGATTTTTTTGCCTGGTTTTCTTCACAATGTAAGATGAGGCTTTTATCTGCATCACGATGGTAAGACCTCCAGCTTCCTTCCCAGAGCAAGCTGTGATGAGTCCTGATGTCCATGGAGCCTCTTCCCAAGCCAACCACACTACCTGCGTGCAGGTCTCTGCTTTCACCCGAGAGCTGGTATTGCACTGGGGCCCTGAAGCTGTCTCTTAAATGAGACTCTGCCAAGTGGCTGTCTCTTGCTACTGGCATAGGAAATGGCTTGTTTTTCGGGTGCCTCCACAAACTCCTGAACAGCCTCACCTCCCAGCAGGGTTGGCAGGAATCACATCCCCCCTGGATGTGCCGCACACTCCCCACGAAGCAGAGAAGATAAGAGGGGATCTGTCTCACTTGCACATTGTCAGTGTGGCAAGCAGGGCTGGAGCTCTGTGGCGTTGCATGTTTTAAGTTGAAGTTGTTATGAAAATTAATTATTCTTTATTCGTTTAAGAAATGGTTTGTTCCTTCCCCCCCCCCCCCCCCCCCCCCCCCCCCCCCCCCCCTCGCTTTTTTTCCATTTTCTGCGACACCCGCGCCGCAGCTGTCGCCGCTCCCTGGGCAGTCTCAGTGAGAGCCCTGGAGTGGCCGGTCTTGTAGCGCCCCTCTGCGGCCATACAGGGAGCAGCTAGCCAGCATCCCTTCGCCCTAAGTGACCGCAGCGTGCGAGAGCTACAGAGCTCCCGGTCCCACTGGTGGCCCCCAGCAGTGGCCATAGAGGGGCCTCCCATCCCTGCAGGCCCAGCACAAAGTGCTGCTGAAGCAGCTGGTTGTTGGAGAGGCCGTGCAGGACACGTTGTAGGACTGCCCGAGGACGCTGTGCAGCAGCTATGGAGGGCATTGCTCCCCTTGGACCTCATCAGGGGGTCCATAGGAAATTTTTGCAGGAGCTTTTCCTTGAGAAAGCAGGCTATCAATCAGAGAGAGGAAAAGCCTCAGGAGTCAGATGAGCGGGGCTGGAGTCCTTCCCTGAGCTCCCTGAGCTCCAAGAGGTCTCACTCTGAGTCTCCTCCTTTTCTAAAAGCAGTAAGAAATGCTTTTTAGAGGCAAGTTGTGCATCACAGAGAATTTCTGCTGCCAGGAGACATCCCAGTTCACTTTAATGTAGTATATTAATTAATGCATTGATCCCTGAGTATGGGAGAAGATTTTCCTTATGGTCCCTCCACTGGTCAATGGCATGGATGCAGGATGAGATTAGGATTATTTTGGCTGTGTTTGGGGAATAGGCCCCTGTCCCAATCTGCTCATACAAGCAGGGGTCATGATGGTTTGTTACCTGATCTCAGAGTGCAAAAACAACACAGAGGGGATTTCAGTATTGATCAAAACAAATGCACCTTTTGTTGAGTGCCCACTGCAAATGCAGTAGAGGGATTGGGAAAGAGATAACAGAATAGAGAGAGAGAGAGAGAGAGAGAGAGAGAGAAAGAAAGAGAAAAGGAGGGGAATATAGCTACCAATGGAGAGATGAAAACCCTTGTGGTCCGGCCAATAGATCTGTCTTGTCACGTCAGGGAGAATCTCAAAGTCTTGGTTAACTCAGGGGTCCATTATAGTGCTCTGCCAAGAGGAGAACAGGTAAAAGACAATGGAGAATGAGCCTATTGCAAATGGATATAGACAGCCCATGTTCCAACACAGGATAAGTCAGTCTCAGCAGCGAGTGGGACCCATTGTTTCAGGACTGGTTTCTGTGGGAAAACAGTCTTGTCCAGTGAACACACCTGCAGGCAACACCTGGCAAACATCCCGCTTCAGTCAGCCCAGCACCCGTGTTAGAATCATAGGAGTCTCAGTCCTTGGGAGGGGGCTCAATCTCTGTCTATCACAGTGGTCATGAGGCAGATGAGGAATTTTCCGTGGGGGATCACCAGAGTTACCCCAGAAAGTTCATTTGGCCAAGAGGCAGGGAAATCCATGGGCTGTTGTGTTGAGCGGGGATGGTGAAGCAGGTGTAAGTGTACAGAGCAAGCTCCTTGCCAGGCCCTGCTCGAAGCAGTGTGCCATGGTGCACTGCAAACACAGCTGCAAACTTGGCAAGCATCCACCTTCCCAGGGCAGAACTGCAGTCAGGGGCTTCAGGATCCTGGTCTGTGTCCTTGCAATGGTCATGAGGCAAAGGAGGGAAACTTCGGACTGTCTCTTAGAGCCCCTCCGGCTACAGCTGCACTTTGCTCCAAGATGCTCTTCTGCAACCATTTCCACGCTCAACACCTCCATCTCTCCTGTCCTCCATCCAGGCTTTCAGCATCGAGCCGCAGTCGGGTGTGCTGCAGCCAGGAGAGAGCCAGCAGGTGTCCTTCACCTTCTCTGGCCACCAGGACATCCTCGCCGGTGTGAAGGCGCTGTGCCACATGGGCAAAGGCCTGACCTACGAGGTGGAGCTGATCGCTGCACGGGTCAGCTACTCCCTGAGCCGCCGGGAGATCGACTGTGGCTTACAGGTACCACACGTGGCCCCTGGCACAGCTCCTTGCCTTGGAACCACGGCCAGCGGGTTCCTGCCCGCCTCGGTCCAGGGCTCGCTCCCCTTCCCAGCCCCTTTGTTGGCTCTGGGGTTTGGAAGTACAACCTTTGAGGGACACATCCGGCATCCAAGCTGGTTTAAAATGGCCATCTCCACAAATGCTGGGAATGCCTCTTTTTCAGGGTACCTAACACTGCCTCCTGGGCCAGGCAGGGTCCCAGTGGGGGTGTCTGAGGGGCATGTCTCTGAGACCTCCCTCTGCTGATCCACTCCTAAAGCCTGACCTGCAGGGAGATGCTCTTGTCTAAAGCTCTTGCTTAACTGACAAATAATCAAGGGAAGAAGTTGGGCTTCCAGTCACTATAGTTGGAGAGAGTGTCCCAGAATAATCCCCACTGCAGTCTTTTTCAGTTGAAAGCCCACAGATATTTCCAGCTGCTGGCCCTGTCTCTGTTGCCTTGTGTGACTCCCTTGTTGCATGCATGTTGCTTGCCAGTACTTGCATGCAGGTGCCCTTTCTCCTGGAATGCCTCAGTGCTGTCTCTGCTTCTCCTGGCTATTGGTGACCCCTCAGAGTGCAGAGGGCCTGTGTCCCCTGGTTCATTTATTACTGGCCCTCACATGGTTGTTACCACACCTCTGTGTGCTGCCAGGGCTCCCTGGTCCTGTGCAGGTGCCCTGTGCCTGGGAGTTCCCCCCGTTCCCAAGTGCCCCTATCTCCTCCCTGGTCCCTGCTCCCAGCTCCCACGATGTGTCTGCTTCCAGCCCCAGGAGAGAGGAAGGAGATTCCCAGCAGCAGGCCTGGGTCTGTAACTTCCCTCTCCTGTGCCTTCTCTCCAGATCTTTAATGAAGTTGGTCACAGCACGGTCACCCTGGAGAACACTGGCAGGACTGAATTCAGCTGGGTGCTAAAGCCTTGCCCTGAAGACAAGCATCGGCCTGGTGTGTTTCTGGTCAAGCCCACCACTGTAAGTAGCACAAGTGACTGACCCCAGCCCTGTGCCAGGTGGCCCAGGAGAGCGTTAAAGGGAAAAAAGAGCAGGGGGGGAAAGGGGGAAGAAGGTCAGAGGGGAAAACCCAAACCCAGCCATGAGAGAGAGAGGGCTGTCAGCAATTTCTGCTGGGGGCAGAGGAGGTCAAACAAGTGCTCTCCTGATAGACTCCCCCACGGCCTTGGTGGTGGGTGGCTGGGCTGTCACAGGGCAGACACCGGCGGGAGGCACAGGTGTGTTGGTCACTGTCCTGTCCTGCTGTAACGGGGGCAGAGGAGAATTCTTCTTGATACATTTCTTGGACAAAAATAAGGCACAAACACAGCAAGTATTAGCAGCATCCCAGCACTGTCCAAGCTTCTCAGTCCTCCCTGGATGTCTTTGAGCCGAAGCAGCGCTCCTGCCTTTGTCCCTCCCTGCGGTGGGAAGAGGAAGCAATTGGCTTTTCCATTTCTTCATGCCTGTCTCCTACAGGGGACGAGAGGAGCTGCTGGCCCTGCTGAGAGCAGGAATTTCTCTTCCACAGTGGCAGCAGAAGAGCCTTTTTTTGTTGAGGCAGGCTCTTGCTGGCAGAGGGCAAACCCCATGAGCAGCAGAGCTGTGCTCACATCGGCCTGTGCTGGGGCTGCAGCCTTATGAGCCCTGGGTCAGAGGCTCAACTTTTGGGCACAAGGAAGGCAGAAGGTGTGAGAAGGGAAGGCCACTCCTCAGTTAAAATTTAAAGAAAATTGAAGAGACAATAGGGGACAAAGTCAATAAGGCAGAAGGAACAGCGCTGGGTGCTTAGCTGCAGCCAGAGGCACAGCAATCAACACAGCAGCACCCCTTATATACCCTGTGTATTGCATCGGCCTAATACATATTTACAAATGGTTATGCATATTCAAACATTTTAACGTAGTTCCTCCTCTGTCCCACCTTTTTGGAGCATGTGCAGTTGTCCTAGTGGTGGTCATGTGTTGCTTTTCAACATATTGAACAGGTTTCCATTCCTTCACTGGTTAAATGTTAATATTACAACAACTCTTCACCAACAGTGGTATCACAATAGAACATTTGCATTAAAAGAACTCTAAACTTTAGCAAAACTTCTTTGACAAAAGTCAGCATTAAAAAACACACGTATTTACTCCAACAGTTGTGAAAGCCAACACTGTAATATCTTTATCACAAAGGTGATGTGGTCTGATGGTTTCTTCTCGATGAGAACCTGTCTTCTCAGCCTGTCTGTCCCCTGAGCCATCCCCATCAAACACTCTGATGCATTCCCTCCCTCCTCTCCTGTCCCTGCAGGGCTCCATTGCACCGGGCAAGAAGAAAGTGCTGAAATTCTATTACCTGCCGGGATTACCAGGAGCTTTCAGCAGGATTTACCAACTTGAAGTGGGTGACCTGGAACCAGAAACAATCTTCCTGAAAGGAGAAGCGACCTGCCCCATGATCAGTGTGAACCTGCCCTGGATCATCAAAGGTGGGCACTGCCTGTCTGCCCCAGGAAGGGCCCCTCTGGTTTTGTTCCCTACCCTATGCCCACAGGGCAGCTCATGCCAACCTCCACCAAGCCTGGAGGGTTGCAGCACTCCCAGACCAAGTCAAGCCCCCTGGTTGCTTCATGAGTCTTGAGCAGAGGATCCCACGTGGGCTTTGTCCCAGGAACCGTCCTGCAGAGCTTGCCAGCACATCTGGCAGGGTCCCGAAGGATGATGGCTAGACTGAAAGGCTTGGGAAAGCTGTAAGAGAGGCTGGCAGGGCTTCTGGCAGGGTTGGATTTGTGTGACATTGCAGGGCATGAGATGCTCCTCGGTGGGGAGAGAGATGGCTGGGAGTGGACACGAGGATTCAGAGAGGAGCAGCAGCATCCACTTTCCATAGATGGCTTGAGGGATTTCTTTCTGGAAGAAACCAACATTGGGAGGTGGGGACTTCCCAGCTTAAATGGGGCTGGCGCTTTGCTCACGCTTCTCTTTGTGGATGTTTTCTTCTTTCAGAAAATGAAGAATATGAGAAACCACTGGGACAGCCTGTAAAACACCCGCAACAGTACAATCAGAGCAACAAATTACAAGTTGTTCAGAAGAAGACTCAGAGCCTGAAAACTCAGCCCTTGGAGACTGGGAATCAGAAGACTCGGGACCTGCAGCCCCGCTTGCTTGGCTCTGGCACTGCAGTAAGAACAGCTGCAGCCCCCTTTGGCACATGCCACCTTCTCCATGTCACCTGAGCCCCTTGCAGCCCACAGCAGCTTCCTGGTGCCCTGATGGCACCTGGGACGTTCCTGCCCACTTACAGCCATGTGTCACCTCAGCATTCCCCTAGGGCTGCCACTCTGGTCATGGTCTCCTCTGGGCTGCACCAGCTTCCTGGCTACCCCAGGGAGAGATCCTGAAGGCCATGCTCCAGGGATGGAGTTGATGGTGCTTTGAAGGAGATGCAGCTCATTGCTGGGGAGTTCCTTGGTCCCAACCCAAGCCCTGCTAGGTTTACAGACCTTAACAGCAGCTGCCTGATTGTGCCCTGGGGCTGTGCTGGTGGTGCTCATCTCCAAGAGGCACCAGCTTGCTCCCAGTTCCCTTTCAAGACAGCTTTTGTCCAAGCTGCCTTGGTACTGGCTGGGGGCAGGCAAGTATGTGGAGCCCTGGAGGGTTCCTGGCTTGCCTGTCTGCCTGGCCAGAGCAGCTTTGCTAACAGTGTCTGGGCAGGCAAAGATGCTGCAGTTGCTTCCCTGGAGATGAGGTGCTGGCTAAGAGAGCAGGAGGTGTCACAGACAACGAGCAGCCAGACAGGAGGACCCCACACCCCCCTCCCAACAAGAGCAGGGTGGGATCCTTTCTCAGGTGCAAGATGGGCCTTGGGAAGGACCTTTGCTAACCAGCCACTGTCTTCCCTTTCTGCAGCCAAGCACTCAGCTGCAGATGCACAAAGTGAGGATGCTGGTAACGGAGGCTGCTCTGGAGCTGCAGGAAAAGCTCACATACCATGCCCCAAAGAGCAGGTTCCCTGAGAAGAAGCAGTGCCAGAGCCTTGTCAAGTGAGTAGGGACTGCCATCCCCATCCCCACCTCCACTGCAGGGAACACCCAGCAATGTCCCCTTCTCCTGAGAGCTCCTTGGGTCTGCAGAGCTGGGAGCAGCCTGGACTTCAGAAAGGGTCTGCTCCTGGTGGCTGTGACACGCTACACGTGAGCAGCAGGGTGTCCTCCCTTCCCCAGCACCACGCTGAGCTTTGGCCTGCTCAGCTCCCCACAGGTGTGGGGTTCTGTCCCTAGAGCTGGGGGACCCAGTGCAGACCTTCAAGCCCTTCCAGACAGCATAAATGCTGTCCCTGCTGCCTAGCTCTGAAAGAGACAACTCCCAGCTGATGTCTTGGTTCCAACCAACTGAGCACACTAAACAAAAGGAGAAGGGAACTGCACATGTCAGCAAACCCTTTAACTCCAAAAATCAGATGGCTTGAACCCTGGTGGGGTGGCAGGGCTTATCCAAGTAACTCGGTGGGTCCCTTTGCACCATCATGATGCAGCACAAGCACAAGAGGCTTTAATTCAGGAAGAAGATGCTCTGCAGAACAGATTATGTGATCTGGTTGCAGAACAATGATGATTTCCTGTGCAGGCACATCTTCTTCCTAGGCCCCAAAGCAATTTCAGGCTCAGGCTGTACATCAGGCTAGGCAGTTTCATGGAGACCAGTGGACTCAGCTGCACTGGCTTTTCATGGCAGAGGAGCTGTGGCCAGTGCCCCTTTTAAATAAATAAAATCAATACCTATTTACTAATGATAAATATCATTAGTAGCTGATCAAACCTGGGACCTGTACTCCTCCTGACTTCCCAAACTCTTTGCTGGGTGGTCAGGCCATGGGTTTCATGGGCTTGAGCTGAGTTTTTACAGCAGTCAGTAAAGAAATAGTCACTTGATATGTGGCTGTCCACTTGGACATGTAGCCAGGCTGTGGTTTAAGGACTGTCCTTAATCTCCCTGCAGAGTTGAGCTGCCCGAGTATGTCCTGGACATGGGCACTGTCCTTAAGGGTTTCAGTGGGAGAAGCACTCTGAGGATCACCAACCCTGGGCAGATCCCAGTCTGCTTCCAGGTCAATGGATCTGTCCTGCAGGGCACAGGTAAGCAGTTCTGGAGATGCTTCCTGTGGGCTTGAAGGAGGTGTCTCAGACAGGTTAGCTTAAGCCACTGAACTTGTGGGTCGGGGGGGGGGGGGGGGGTTTGAGCTTTTTCTTCTCAGTGCCCCTGCTGGGAGCTTTAGAGGCAGAATTCTCCTGGCTATCCACGCCCAGGGGCCTCTCCTGGCCTGCCTGTGACTGCCCTAACACTTCAGTGCAGGGACCAGATGGGCTCACCACCCTGGTCACCTGTCAGCATCTTCTGCCCTTGGCTCCCACGAGCAGCAAGTTTCTTTGGGCACTCCGTGGCCTTGTTTTGCCAACCAGTGGGGTCTGCTGTGTTTTGGAAATGCTTTGTTTGGAGTTCACACTGTCACAGCACTTGTATTCAGCCTTTATTGAGGAAGCAGCCTGTGAGATCCTCTGGTGGATCAAAAGAGGCTTCCAAAAGAGGCCTTGAGGCAAGGCTGTGCTTCCGTCACACAGTGGCTCACTGTGTCTGAGGGGTGTTCAGGTGCACTCTACGTTTTTGTCCAGGTCACAGCATGGCATGGGGCTTTTCCCACACCTCTCAGCCAGGATACCTGTAAGGCCTTAACGTGCTTAGGACACATTTTGTGTTTCGTGTGTATCTCAGCTGCTTTCTGTTCATCTCTTCAAGGTTTCAGCGTGGACCTGGGCCTGATGAAGAGCCTTCCCCCCAGGCAAAGCGTGGCATTTGACGTGTGCTTTGAAAGTGCCCAGCGGCCACAGGGTGACGTGGATGTGCTGCTGCCCATAGAGGTACCACAGCTCTTGGGGCAGGCAGCAGGCTGGGCACAGCAGCAGATGTCACCTGCGCCCTCCGCTGAATTCTCTGTCCTTCTGCAGGTGACAAAAGGCCCCACGTCTCACATCCGCCTCCATGCCACTGTGTTGGAAGTGTCGCTCAACCTCTCCAAGAGAGCACTGCATTTCTCTGACATCCTCGTTGGGCAGTGCAAGGTTGAGACAATCCGGCTCTACAACTGGTTCCAAGTACCCTGCACGTGGTCCATTACTGCCATCAAGCCTGTTCCGAAGGTAAAGCACAGGCAACATTGAACATGGAACTTCTGGGTTGGGTTTTCTTTGTGTCTCTTGCCCTTTCTGCTCCTGTGGCTGCCTGAGCACTTGGCTCTACAGCATGTTTGAGGAAGCTTCTGAGGGTCTAGATCAAGGCTGGACCTTTGCTTTTAGTGGATGCTTTGTTTTTCTGCCATCTTCACCCATTCCTCCTCCTCTGAGGACAGTAGCTCCCTGTCTGCCTGCCCTGTGTGAGGTTTTCCCTCCAGCTCTAGGCTATGGGGGGCCACACTTGGTTTGGCTGTGGGTGCTCTCAGCACCGTATCAGTGTCTCAGAGCACGAGGAGAGCTCACACGATTGGTTTCTGTGCCTAGAACAAATACATACATCACAAGCTGCAGGCACTGGAGGATGAACCTTGTCCCTTTGAAGTGACACCCTCCCAAGGAACCCTTGATCCAGGACGGTGGCAGAACTTACAAATCCAGTTCACACCCAAGGAGGAGGTGAGATTGGCAGGTGTCAGCCCCAGAGGCCTGTCAGGGCTATCTGGAAATGAGGGCCTGGTGCAGAGAGTGTGGTAGGAGCTCTGCCTTCACAGGGAGCTTTCTGCAAGCCCCGTACTCAGCATGGCTCAGTCCAGCCCACAGAGCACTCCCGTGAGAGGGGCTTTGAAATGCCCACAGGGAGCTTGCACAGAGAGCATCAGGGCTCCGAGGCTGCCTCTTGGCACGTGGGGGGATGTGCCCAACGCCCCTCAGCCTCCCCCTTGCCTGGCTGTTTTTGCATCTGCAACACTTGGTGCAGAGCAGCTGCACACTCGCTGAGGATAATCCTGGAATGGCTCATCCTGCTGCAGAACTGACAGACCAAACAGCCAGCAGACACCTTCCTGAGCACAGCAGGACAGTCACCTGTAGTGGTGTGCTGGCAGCAGTCCTTGGGGCTCTGGCCTGCCTGCACATTCCTAATGCAGCTGGGGATTCAACTTAAAGGATGGAGCATTCCCAACAGTGGTTTGCCTGTGGCCACTGGTCTCAGAAACTGGCAGTGTGTACCAGCATGAACACAAGTGCTTCTGTGCCCACAGACGGTCCCAGGGTTCTTTTAATTACTTGAGAGATGTAACCATCTTGTGTCTGGCTTGGACCGGAGCCAAACACAAAGCAGGGAAGATGACCCTTATTTCTGGCCAGAGAGAGCTCATTTGCCTCTCTCCTGGAGCTGCCGTTTGCCTGATGCAGCAGTGCCGGGCTAGTGTCTGGACACTGCAACCCTGAGGGCCCTTTCCATGAGCATTGCACTCCTGCATGACTAGGTGAAAACGCCTGACAGTCCATTGTGCATCCATCTGATACCCAAATACCCAGTTTGGGTGCACACCAGGATTCATCCCAGTTACTCAGAGCCAGGACACAGATGCTGTAGTCCCTAGCATAAATAAATATCTGGTTTCCATTCACCTTGGAGGGACTGATAACACCCTGACCTTGGGGCAAGCATTGTTGTATTTGGGGTCCTGTCACCTGGGACTTCATGGATGAGTTTTCTGCACTTTTCTTTTTTCAGAGGCCTTACAAGAATGAGCTGAAGCTCAACGTCTGTGGGAGCAGCAATCACTTAAAGCTGCACCTCACAGGACAAGGTCTGGAGCCACGGTTGGAGTTCAGCCCGCCAGCACTAAAGATGGGACGGGTGCTGGTGGACAGCAATGGGATGGAGGCCACAGTGGTGGTGAAGAACCCATGTGACTTCCCCATTGAGTTTTACTCCCTGGACTTTGATCAGCAGTACCTTGAGGAGGAGAAGGTGAGAAGGCTGGTCTGGTCCCCATGTACGTGCTGACATGCTGTGGGAACTTACATAGTTGGTGTTGTTGGGAGGGAGGAAGCAGACAGAAATGGGGTTTGTTGAGTGTGTGAGATGAAAGGCGAGAAAAGGAATCTTGCTATGGTTTCTCTTCCCTACACGCACAGATCCTGCGGATAGCACTGGGCTCTGAGCACCAAAAGAGCTTTTTAATGCCTCCACGCGCCGTGGGTGGGACACTGCCCCCAGAGGTGCTGGAGAAGTATGAAGCACAGGAGAGGCTGAAGACTCAAGAGGCAGAGCTGAAGGCCCTGGCAGAGGCCCAGCCTTCAGCTGAAAACAAAGGTCAGAAGGCGAAGAAGGTGAACAAGAAGGCTAAACAAAACCGTCGAGGCCAAAGGAGTCTTCAGTCATCTCGGCTGGAGACACAGAGCGAAGTTACAGAAGAGGCAGCCAGAGATGAGCATGTCGGGGTGCCATGCCTGGACATGCAGGTCGCAGATCCAAAGGCCACGACTGGGGAGATCCTGAGTGATGGGAATCTGCCAACAGAAGACCAGGTAAAACCCTGCAAGGCTTAGATCTTGAGCTTGCCGTGGTCATGGGCCCTGGAGCATTGTGTCCCCACAAGTGATAATGGCACAGAGCCTTGTCCAGGCCCCTGATGATGTTCCACGATGACTCTGTATCATCTGTGTGGACGGGGAGGTTATCACCCTCCCTCCGATGGGCAGAAAGTGGGAGTGCTCTGTGTACAAGTCTGTTCAGAGCTTCCCAGCCTGGAAATCATTATAAACAGTCCAGGACAAGGCAGCTCATGGTCATTATTTTCTTCAGCTGAGTCACTTGGGAGAGGTTTCTCTCCCAGTCCCGCTTGTAGCTCTTGCCTCTGCTCTGGAGCCCGCTCAGCCCACTGGGCATAACAAAGCACTTGTACTTCACACAAGTCAAAAACCCCATTGCCAAAAGCTCAGTGCCTTTAAAGGAGGAGTTGTGAGGATGAAGGTGACAGAAGGATAAGCAGGATTTTCTCTTCTGTTTTAGATGCTGAAACATCTGGGGCAGCATCCCAAAGGGCCTCCCCTTCCCCCTGCTGCTGTGCTCTCCATAGTGGAGTACCCAGAGGAGAGGTTGGGCCCTGCAGAGCGTGTGGAGCCCTTCACCATTGTGGCACCTGAAGGTGCTGCCATGGAAGACAATCTGGTGGGTGCTCCAGTGGTGCTGGCACTGAAGGTGCCAGGGCAGGGACCAGGCTAGATGGGGGCACAGGGGACAGGTTGGATGGAATGGGATCATTGTGGAGAGGTAGTGAGGATGTGATGGAGCCCCGTGTCTGCAGGTCTCCTTTTTCTCAGGGGTGGGACAAAAGAGACAGCTCTGCTGGAGACAGAGCAGTTCTGTAAGACAAGAGGGGAAAAAATCACTTAAACCCTCCACTTCCCTTGAGGAGAGGGTCCTGAGTGAGCAGAGGTGTCTTAGGCACAGCAAACTCCAGTAAGGAAGACCAAGTCCATGGGCAGGTGGCCTTATTTATTTATTCTCTCTTCTGCTGTTGAACAAACCCCCATTTTGCTTTCCAAGATGTTGTCTCAGGGCTCAGCTCTCCCTCCCTTTTCTCTCTCCCCTTAGGCCAAGGCCCCAGATGTGGAGGGCAGTTCTGCCAAGGGCCAAACAAAGATGGGTAAAGCGACTAGCAGAAACAGCTCTACAAAGGAGAATCTGATCTCCACACAGAGAACAGAAAGTCTCCAGGATTCCTCCACCACAAGATCCAAAACTCTGCTGGAAAGTGCCTCAGTCCCCACAGAATTCCTCAGGTGAGCTGCAAGGGAGGAGGTGATGCCTCTGCTTCTTGGTCCTCTTGCCAAAGAAGGTCCACCATCCCCAGCTGCACAGCGACCCTGTGCCAATGCCTCTGTGGGATGGCGAGCACACCCTCCTTGGTTCATTTCACCTCAGCAATGTCTGAAGCCTCCTCTTTAACTGCCAGGCTGAAACGGTACCGGTGGATAGTGCCTGCCCACGGTCAGGTGGAACTGAAGGTGCACTTCTCCACCAAAAAGCCGGGGAAGTTTGAGCAGACACTGAGGTTTGAGCTCGTGCAGTCGAAGCGCCAGTACGAGCTGCCCTGCAGTGGCACCGGCCTGTACCCCAACATCAGCCGGAGCCCACGGTAAGGTTGGCCCCTGGCAGCCTCCCACACCACAGCTGCCCCTGAGCTCACAGCCAGGGCTGCCCCTTGGCACTTCTGGCCTGGGCAGATTGTGCTGCCTGACGTTGTCCAGCATCTCTTCCTGTGCTGGGAGCTGGAAGGCAGATGGTACCTCAGCCACCAGGAAGGGTTATGGCTTTCTGACTGCATTTCCTTCTTGGAGCATCTGATATCTCCTCCTTCCCAACTTTTCTGCCCAGGGTGGTGTTTCCACAGTGGAGGAAAACCATGCAGAAAGATGAAGTCATCTTCAAGGAATATGTTGAGAGCACAAAGCAATTCCACTTTGGACCGCTGCTGTGTGGGAAATCAAGAGAGTGGTATGTGCTCCCTGCTGGGCCTTGTACTTTTCTGGACACGCCTGGAGAGACAGGCTGTCCTGTGGCACAGGGAACGATCCTGGGAGACACATGGGCTGGAAGGACCACAGATGTGTGAACTTGAGCAGATGAGAGGCAAATGAGCCTTGCAGGAGATGCTCTGCCTACCCAGTGGGTGCCTTGGTGGCCAGAGCCGCCTGCTGCTGCCAGTCCAAAGGTGACTTGGGAGGCAGCGTCTGTTCCCCTCTACATCTCAGCTTCAACCCTTAGGAAATGAACTTTATGGTGGTTTTTGAAGTGCTTTGAGCTCTGCAGGTAGCCTGACCGAACAATTATTCTGTAGATGGTTTTGTAAACCTTTCAATTAGCTGTAATTATGAATAAGATTTTATTATTGACATGCCAGTGGGTGTTGGGGGTAACGTCCAGCAGGAATTACATTTTCCTGTAATGACATTGCATCCTCACTGCTGGATAAAGTCACATTTGGAAAAACACATTTGTTTCAATGACAAAACACTTTGTCATTGAAGCTATTGTGTAATTCTGCAGTTACTGTCACTTCTTTCTAATGCCATTTAACTTCAAGTTTTTGTCTCCATGGGAGCTCTGGAGGGCTAGGGCTATTTTGAGAACCCAAGTAAATGAAATCAAAATAGTTTAAAAAATGTACACTCCGTAGCCAGACTGATGGATGGTCTGGGATTTCTGCTTGCCTCTTTAACCCTTTCACTCCAAAGTCATTTCCACACCTGAGAGAAGGGTCATTTGTTATCTTTTTTGCATTCCTCTTGGCAATCGATGCTTTCTGTTTTCTTTCTCAACTTTGAGCTAACCCATAAAATCCAAAGCAGTTTTTCATTACTTTTATGAAAGAAATGAGCTAAACTGCTTTTCCAAAAGCCTTTCTTTATACCCTGTAGGGAAGGCATCCCAGGAAGGAAGGGGAAAGAACCCATGTGCCTGGTGTACTGTTATTTTTCTAGGCACCTTTGAATTTACATGGTATTAAAAACTCTTGAGATGGCCTGAGCATCATCAGGCTTCTGGGCTGGAGGCACCGAGTCCAGGGGAAGTCATCAGAGTAAGGCAAGGATGAGCACACGCCCATGCACCTGGCTGGGATCCATTTCCCTCACTTGTCTCTCAGCATCACTTCCTCAGGTGCCCACGGTGCTCTCCTCAGTGTGTGGCAAAGGCAAGAGTCTGCTCTGCAGCCTTTTCCCCTTTTGTGGACAGGTACAAGGCCCAGAACTGTCCTAGCAACTCGGAGAATCTAACCATCCTCAACAACTCCCCCGCGGACGTGGAGGTCCAGTTCTCCTTTGAGAATGCTGGGGAAGCAGAGACGTTCCTTCTGGACCCTCCCAGCATGACACTGAAACCAAAGGAGAAGCAGGTGCGAGAAGGGCAGGTACAGCAGGCACCGTAGAAGTGCCCAGAGGCTGCTCCTCCTGCTCACACACAGTGCTCTTTCTATTTCTTCCCGTGGGGCCGGCTCCAGGAGCTGACCATTTGGGCATACCCCACTTCCCCTGGCTTCCTGGAAGACAAGCTCATCTGCAGCATTGGGAAGAACCCGGACCCAGTGGTCTTCAGCCTGTGCTGCCGTGGGGTGGACATGAAGCTGGAGGTCAGCCCCCTGGAGCTGTCTTTTGACAGACTGCTTCTGCACAGGTCAGTCATCCCACAAGCACTCCAAGACTTGTGACAAAAAGTTTGACTCTGGTGTTTTAGGGAGCTCCCGACGCTAGGAATAATGTGCTCTGATTTTAGGATTTAGAAGGTTGAACAATTGTTTTATTAAAATTATATTATATTACACTAATAGTATATTAAAATTATATTAAAGAGATAGTATACTATGTTAAGGAAAAACTTGTGACTTTAGAGAGTGAGACAGGTTTGAGTGATTGGTTAATCACTCAAAACAACTTTTACCTGTGCCTAATAACTAAATCACTTTCAGTAAACAATTTCTAGAACACATTTTACAGGTGTAGAACAACAGGAGTACTGAATAGAGATAAGAATTGTTTTCTCTTCTTCTCTGAGGTTCTCACCACCTTCTCCAGGAAAAAAATCCTTGGGAACTTGAGCTTGCTGCTCTCTGTGAAGAGAGCTGTGGCCACAGTCTGGTTTCCAGGGCATGGATGGAGCTGCTCCAAGTTGCATTCAGTGGCGAGGCTGGTGTGAGCACCCAGCAGCTGATGCCAAGGGCCTTCCTGTCTCTGCAGGACTGACAGCAGGACCTTAGTCCTGAGAAACAACACCCTGCTGCCCATGGCCTGGCAGCTCCGTGGGCTGGATGACCTATTTGAGGACTTCTCCTTCTCACAAGATAAGGGCATCATTGATCCCCACACGGAGTTTCCAGTGACGCTGCATTTCCAGGCCGAGCAGATTGGCAGCATCAAGAAGACTCTCCGACTAGAGGTGAGAGGGACTGTGTCCTGCCTGGCCGAGCAGGGCACAGCGAGCACAGGGGCAGAGTCAGGAAGAGCTGCACCTGACAGACACAAGGGTGCTGTGACCCCAACTTCTGCCTCTACACGGCGTTTGCCAGAAGGTGCAGTGCATCCACATCCCCCCACATAAGCAGACACTGCATCCTGAGCCGGTGCCTTATCCCTGTGAATGGCTGAAGGTTGTTGTTTGCTTGTACAGACTGCAGCATGATCTCTGCATTGGACTTTGTCTGAAGCTCTTGCATAGTGCAATAAACTCTCCCCCTGGGGTTTTGTTCCCCGTGGTTTAGGGGCTGCATTTCAGAGAGGGTGATAGGTGATTGGAGAGGTTTGCCAGTGCCACCTGCTCTGAGACCCCTCACACTTCTTGTGGTTGTTCTTACATCTGTGTGCCTCTCCAAGAGAGCATTCCCTGCTGTAGGAGTGCAAAGTTGGGCTGATAGGGTTTTTTACAGCAGCAGAATCCCACTGGGGCAGCCCATGACAGGAACAGGTTAGCAAAGCTTGGAAGTCCATCAACGCTTGTGAAGCCGGGGAGGCCACAGGGGAAGCAGCAGCAGAGACAAGGACTTACAGGCTGTCTACCAAAAGAATAATCAGTGTTTGTTTCTTGCTGACTCAGGTTTCAGATACAGAAAACATCCTGGGGATTGCTCAGGCTGAAAACATCGAAATCTCTGCAGAGGTCTATGATGCTTCTCTGAGCATTGACATGCCTGAAGGTCAGTGGGTGCCTCTCAAACAAAACAGTCCTGGTGCATTGCATTACCTTGGGATGGATGGGATGGGATGGGATGGATACATAAAGCACATACCCTGCAAGCTGCATGGAACAAAGCATTGTCAGGGCGCTGACAGCCTTAAGTCTCTCCCCTCGGAACTTTGAAGTGTGCAGCTTCATGTGCAGACTGGATCTGGGGGCTTTGAAACAACAGCGATGTGAACAGGCAGTTGGCAACCCCCACAGGCTCAGCACAGCATATAAAGTAATTGGATTTGTGCTTGGAAATGAGGAAATGGAAGCTGAGCTCCTTAGCTACTAAGCCTGCAGATATTTTGAGTGAGAAGAGAAAGGGCAGACAAGTAGCTGGAAAACACTTCCAGGAATGGAAACTTGCTGAAAAGGGTTTTCTGCCAAGACCTCCATTGAGCCTGTGGTCTGGGGTATTCTGCAGCACCTCATAAATACCGTGTTTGACCTCGCTCTGTGGGTTTTCTGCAGGTCCAGATGGAATCTTGGAATTTGGAACCATTAATGTCCAGGATAATGTCAAGAAAGTCCTGAGTCTAAAGAACACAGGGGTATACAACATTGAGTACAGGTGAGTCCTGGTAGTGAGCATTTCCTCGGGTTCCCAGGTCTGCATTCTCCCTCTGTCAATGGCTAGAACCTGTTTCCATGCTGGCTACCTCATGGTAAATACACACTCTGGGCTCTCCAATGTCAATTATTTTACCAGAGAATCCAGCCACAAACCAGCAGTTCTTCACAGCTCAGCTGGAGCCCGAAGGAGAGCCCCAGAAATTTCAGCCACTGAAATGCTGAGATTCATTGCCTTTCTTTGGTGGTCACCTCCTTTCTCTTTCTGAGACTGTGTAGGAGGAAATGAAAACTTTATGTGTCAAGGTTTCTTGCAGCAAGCTCGTGATTGTCTGCCCTCTCTGTCAAGATCCAGGATTCCCTGAGCAGAGCTGGACTCTCCCTTTTCTTCTTTTCTGGTCCTATGCAAACTCCTGGCTGTGCTGGTGATACCTGTGCTTTTAACTGCAGAGATCTCCATTCCTTCCCTTCCTCCAGGTTCACACTGGAGGGTGCAGGTCCCAGGATGGCATCCTACTTCACTGTTGAGCCTCAGTCAGGCGTGCTGATTGCCTCCCAGCCTGGTGTGAATGTTGAGATGCTCTTCAACCCAAAAAGAGAAATGTTCCTCAGGAACAAGCCCATCCTGTACTGCCAGGTGAGCTGCCTGGGCCAGGCTGTGTTATCACACGGTGTTTTGGGAGCGTAAACAGGATAGGCGTCTGATGGAAGGAGAGCTTTAACTGGAGAATCCTCTCTCCAACACACACAAACAAAGTCTTTCAAAACCATTTGTGAGGCTTCCTGGGTGGAGCTGAGAATCTGACTCTGGAGGAGGTGCTTAAATAAGGAGGGGTAAACTGATGGAGGCCTGGGGTGGAGGCTGGGCACTGGGGTAGAGGCTGGCCTCTTTGCTTGTTTACCACCCCTTCCTGTGGACACAGGTGATAGATGCCAGCTCAGGTGAGGGAGGCCAGGCTGTCGCCAACATCCCAGTGAGGGTGTCTGCCAAAGCTGAGTACAGCAAGTACACCATTGAGCCTGCCTCACCCATCAACTTTGGAGCCATGATCAAGGGCACCAAGAAGACCCAGACTGTCATGTTGGAGAACAAAGGCATGCTCAGCTTCAAATTCTACATCTGCCAAGCACCCAAAGAGGCACTGGGAAGCAAAAGGTAGGAGAGGCCCTGCACCACCCCTCCTGTCCGAGGAGGCACCACCCCAGGGCTGGTATGTGGCAGGCAGCCAGGAGACCTGGGCTGTCGTTCATTTGCATCCCTGGCTTGGGGAGAGGGAGCAAAAATCCACCTCGGTATCCCCATGTGCACTGTGAAGCTGGTGATAGAGCTGCTGTGTCCAGCAATGGGTGCTGCAGGCTGCTCTCTGGGAGCCATCAGGAGCACGAAGGCTTTCCCCTCTGAGGAGGAAGGCCAGCTTTGGCCTCAGAGGAAGGCAGGGGAGCTCAGCATGACAGATACCTCTGCTTTCTCCTCTCAGTTCAAAGCAAGTGGAATCTACAAAGCGCTCCATGAGAAGGAAATCAAGCTCCTTGACACAGGTGGGTGACTCCTGCTCCCCAGCAGTGCTGCTGCAGGGCATGTGAGAAGATGCTGCTGTGCCCGGGCTGGGGGCTCATCGCCATGGGGTGGGACGTGGTCTGCAGGATGGAGTCCAGCATCTGCTCAGTCCTCCTGGCACTCCTCTACTCTGGCTCTGACTTGGAGTTGTGGGGTCAACAGAGGGGAGCAGGTCCCCTGTTTGGTAGCTGCTGGCCAGCATAGCTCTGTGAACACCACAGAAGCAAAAACCTCCAACACTGAACTCCCAGTCCACAGGGCTCAGACAACACTGCTTTTTCTTCTTCCCAGTCCCACACCTCTCTCCCATCATTTCTCACAGCTATATCTCCTCTCCTGTGTTACCTCTGGAGGCTGAAGGATCACAGCTCCCACCTTCAGTCTTTCAGCTGTTAGCCATCAGCCTCTCCTGGAACTTCTTCTGCAGAGTCACCTCAGTCTTGGCATGTTCACGGTGTCCCCGTGCTCCGGCTCCATCAGTCCGTGGGGCCAGCAGAAGATCACAGTGGAATGCCTCGCAGGGCAGGAGGGGACATGTGAGGAGCAGCTCTACATTGACATCCCGGGCAGAGACCCCAAGGACAATCCCCTCGGCATTCCCTTCACCCTGATTGCCCAGTCCTGCCTCCCAGGTACATACTGCCCACAGTGCCCTTGGTCACTGTGCTGCTGATCAGCACCTAAACTTGCTGCTTGCATAGAGAGGCACACTAGCCCTGGTGTCCCACCTTAACATCCTCAGAGGCTCCAGCCCTCTTTGAGTCCACCAGTGGACTCGTCCCTCCCAGGCTGAGAGGGATGCATGGAAGGAAGGATAAAAGGAAAGCAATGCTCTCTAAGACTGAGGCTGACTGGGCTCCATCCTCCCAGCCAGCTCCCCCACCCAAAGCTGGGTTTAGCAGTCACCCAGGCAGAAGGGCTTATCAAGCCTTCTCAGAGGCCAGCAGAGTACAGATAAATTCAGCAGGGAGGCTTCTCCATGCTCATCCCTCTGGTGTGTCCACAGCACTCGTCGAGGATGTCGCATCAATCTTCGAGGAGTACCCGATCTGCAGCAGCACCGACCTCGACCACAAGCTGCTGTCGGTGGAAGGCACCGGCCTGTTTGTCAGAGATGAGAACAGATTCATCTTCAGCAAGGTTCAGGTTGGGCAAGAGGCTGAAGCTCATTTCCATATCTACAATGCAAGCTGTCTGCCATGCGATGTGGTCCTCTCCATCAAAGCCCTGCCTGGAGAGGTAAGAACAGGAGGCCAAGGTGGTGGTTGCCCTCTAGGGGCCCTGTGAGAGCTTGTTTTATTCGCCAGATGCATTGCTGCCTGTGGCCCAGCCTAGGCTAGCTCAGTGCAGGTCAAACTGCAGGGGAGAGCAGCAGAGCCAGGGAGCAGTTGTGTTGAATTCTGCATGTCTTGGGCAAGGTTTTGGCTCAGACCGCTGGGTCTTTGGTGGGAGAAGTGAATCCTTCTGAACCTCTCTTGGAAGCACACGCAGAGAGGGGCTGCTATGAACTGACATGCCAGGGCTCAAAGCAGAGCATTTCCTCACTTATGAACTGACATGCCAGGGCTCAAAGCAGAGCATTTCTTCAGGCTCCCTGGCTTTTCCTTCTCTTTAAAGGCCAGCTCTAGGTTATTTGCAGGGTTTTCCATGCAGTGCCCACCTCCCATATAGGTGGGTGGAGCTGCTAGCCCTCAAAACATACACTGCTTTAGCACAAGGTCAGCATTCACCAGGAGGGAGGGAGCCTGCCCAGGGAAGCAGGAAGGACACACACTGTCTGGGACTGCTCTCAGTAATGCATTTATGCATAAAACCACATCATGTTGAAAGGTGTTTTCTCCTAACACTGCTCTCTCGGTTCCCCCAAGGAAAAAAGCCCTATCAACAACATTTTCAAGTTACATCCAGTCAAGATGTCTGTTCCCGGCTCATCCCGTGCCATTGCTACGGTGACCTTCACCCCAGCAGAGGAGCAGAACTACAACTGCACTTTCAAGGCTTCCCTTGTCATCCCAAAAGGGTAACTGACCCTGTGAAATACTCTCTGGTGGCTGCCTCTCCACTGGGAAGGCACAGACCTCTTGTTAGCTCTAATGCTTTCAATAGCCTCAGGCAGAGTACTTGGCATGAGATGATCTGGGAGGCAAGAACTCTTAGAGCAGAAGAATGAGGCTGATGCTTTAGCCTGTGTGAGGAACTGTGAAGACAGGGAAATACTAGGTAGCCAGCTGTAAGTTACTGAGATGTGCTGCAGCTGAGCTGGGCGTTTCCAATGACAAAGGCTTAGATGAAGCAGTCTCTGTGCCAGCAGTCAGCAGTCACATTTTCCTCTTTTGTTTCTGTAAAATTAAGTGGTCCTCTGTGACTCCGTGGCATTCATTAAGCTCTTTTATGTGAGTGATTGGAGCTGGCATGAAAGAGGAGCCCAGTTCCTCTGCCCTGGGACCTGTGGACTGGGGCTTTGACCTGCCCTTCCTCAGCCCTTTAGTGGCTGAACCAAGAGAAGTCTAACTGCAAAGAAGCGATTGTTTTTTTTACTCTTCTTGGAAAAGATCTTTATTGATAGCGACAATGATTTCTTTTTACCTTCTTGCTTTTGTACTGCTTTCATGCTGTGCTTTTGCTTGTTGCATAAGTCTTATCTCACTGCAGCATGGGGGTTTGTCATATCTCATCTGGTGCCTTGTTGTTTACCTGCTGTACTGCATGATTCAATTAAGTGAAGTTATTTTTTAACTGTTATTGTGGAAGGCTTTGGCTCTTTGGAGCAGATTCCTCTTGTGAATGGCCCTGAGTGGATTGGGAAGAGGCTGGTGGCGGGCTGTGTTGTGGGGTACAGGAACACCAGGCAGGGAAAAGACTGTGGGTGGCCCTTGCTGCTTTGCTTGCCCACTGAGAAATGGGTTAGTGCCAGCTGAAATTGTTTCTGTGCCTCTCCTGCAGCTCTGTGGAAATTAAACCCCAAGCCCTGACCTTCACCATCAGCGGGAAGGGGCATGAGCCGCAGCTGACAGTCGTGTGCCCAAGCGCTCGCAGCAAGAGGGGAAATGCCGTGCTGCGCTTCAAGAGGCTCCGGCTGGGGGATTCAGAGATCCTGCCCCTGCTCATCCGTAACGATGGCATCATACCTGTCAAGGTGAGGAGGACCTGCTCAAGGAATGGTCTGCTTTGGGAACAAGCGCTTGTGGCACAGGGGAGGGGTCCCAAAATGCATGGCAGGCCTGTGAGGAGGTGTCAGAAATTCTTTTGAAACAAGTGACTGATGTCTGTTCTCTAAGAAGGGAGTTCTTGGAAATTTTCTGTCCAGTCTTTCTTCTTTAAGTTGAACACGAGAAAGGTGGTGGATTATTTTCCCCCGTCTCTCAGGTCACCTTTTGTTCTCATGGACATGTCTGATTTCCCAGCTCCATTAGATTGTATTTCAGCCCACTTTACTACATTTTAAGTAAACTTAATTGTGGTTGAATTACATCCTGCCAATTACTTTTTGTCCCATTTGGTTCTGTGTCAGTTCTATCCAGATGCCTCTGAACACCCTTTTTTTCCTGGCTGGTTTGACTTAACTTTTGGGCTAAGTGCTTTTTCTGGTGGGAGAGGTGCTGGGCTCCCATGTGGGACCAGCAGCACTGCAGTGTCAGGCCCCGTGCCATCCTGTACTCACACCAGCACCATGGTGCTCTGTGTTCCCTTTTCTCAGTTTACGTTATGCCTGGAGGATGAGCACAGAATGTTCTCCTTGAAAGGCAGGGCCTCTGCTCTCGAAGTGTTCCACACTGGAGATGTGGAAGAGGATTCAGCTGGAAACGGTAAATTCGTTACCCATGAAGTTCAATCATGCACAGAGGGAAAACGTGTGCCCTGCTCTTGGCTTCTCTGAGCAGCAGCCACATGTTAGGCACAGTTTTGTCCCTTGGGCTCTCTGTCCCCCAGTCTTTTCTTGGGGGCTTTTTGCAGGGTTTTCTCCTAGGAAGTTGTAGGAAGTTCTTCTCTTCTTCTAGACATGGTGGGTTGAGTTGGGGGGGACTGTCACTACCTCAGTGGACCCTCTGAGGTATTTGCTGCACGTGGGGTGGTACCAGCCTGAGCAGACACAGCCCTTGAGCACACAGAAAGCCAGCAGAAGCCGAAAGCACTCTTTGGCTCAGCTTTCCATATAGCTGGAGCTGGTGGGAAGCAGTTGGAATGAGGGCTGGGCATCAACCTGAGGTTAAGCTGCTTAAGTGGTGCTGTGTCTGGGGGTGGCAGCCTTGTGAACACAGGAAGAGGGTCTGCAACCACTGGGGGTAGAACCGGTGCTTAGAAGGCAGCTGGTTTCAACCTCTTATTCCTCATATATCCTATGGAAATATTTCCTCAGTACAGCTGTACCACTTAACTCTGATTTCCATTGCTGTGCAGAGAGCAAGCCCACAAAGCCTTTCTTCCTTCTGAATCGCGGGCAGTCGGCAGAGTTTGATGCCATTTTCAAACCCACCCTGGCTCAACGTGTGGAAAGGAAGATTGGGGTGTTAGTGGGGGACACCTACTCCAACAAGATCATAATTGAACTGGTGGGTGAAGGCCACCAGGACGAATTCACCCTCAATGGATTAGAGGAAGGCACTGAGGAGAGGAATGCTGATGGCAGCCTGAAGAAAAACATCATTGATGGTAAGAGGAGAGACTGCCAAGGTGGAGCCAGAAGAGGAAAATAGCTGATCATATGTGTCTTCCCTCTAGCCAGGCCTGAGCTGTCACCCACGGGACTTGGTGGCCTGTGGGGATGGCAGCCATGCATGCAGAGCAGGGTGTGCTGTGCTGCACATGGCTGGCTTAGGGATGTGTCAGGGTGTTTCCCTGGAAGTGGTGGAACTGCCTGGGGAACTCCCTTGCAGAGGGGGGAAGGCTTGGAGCTAGGAAGCATTGGACATGCAGGTGTCTGTGCACGTGAGGGCGGCTGGTGGAGCTCCCTGCATGCTGAGATCCCTTGCTCTCCTCCTTAACAGCTGTCAGAGTGAATCACATTCAGTTTGGGGACTGTCACGTTGGGGAGCCCTACTGCAGGACCTTCACCATCACCAGCCACGCCGAGATGGTCATGCGCTTTGAGTGGGAGGCAGACGCCCCATTCCAGTTCTCCCCCAAGGTGAGCATGGACTGCTCTGCCTTTCCCCATTGCTCAAGCCCTGCCCTGGTGTGCCCAGGAGCTGGCAGGGAGCCCTCACATGCCACTGATAGCCCATTCCAGTGCCACGCAGGAGATGCAGTCCCTGGCTTGGCTGGGCCAAGACTGCCAGCCTTGCAGAAAAGGCTTCATGTCATGGGAGGTGGCACCTTCTGTTCATACTTTTGTCTATCAAACTTCATGTAAATCCACTCTGAGGTGCAGATTCCTGGCGTGGGTGTTCACCCCATCGATCCCTTTTGCTGTCAGTCCTGCCCTTGGCAGTGCTTCCAGTTTGGTCTTGACTCCCTGACTCTTCCCTAGGTGGGACACCTCCATCCTGGCTGTGCCAAGGACATCACAGTGACCTTGAGATCAGATGTCCCAGTCACCTTCAGGAGGCACCTTGTGAAATGTAAGGTGACCAAGATCGACTTTGAGCTGCCACAAAGGCAGGTTCAGGACTGGGATGACCAAATGAGCATTGTCATGTGGAAGGATACCACCAGGAAAGACCCGGCAGCCAGGTGGCCTAAAATAGAGAAGGTAAGAAGCAAAACAGCAAAAAAAACCCAACGCAGCTTTTAAAAAAAGAACCACCATACCACCATCACTGCTGGCTGAGCAGCTCCTGCATCCTCTGGACACTGGACAGCCGTGAGGTTCACCAGCTGTGCATTCCAGAAAAGAGGTGGAAGCACAGTGACCACATACACTCACACAAGATGGGGAAGCCTTCTGACAAGTGACCTTTAGCCACACACACAACTATCAGTCTGGGCCACAAGCACAAGTGTTGCAGCCCATATTGAATGGAAGGCAATGCTTTAGGATTTTATCCCATTTTACAGTGTTAGAAATCTCTTTATCTGATTTCGTGCCTTTTCATCAAGGTCTTAAGTCTGCTGCACTCTGTCTCTTCTTTTGGAGTGGAGAGAAGTCCACTTCTCCTGCATATACTGGTGAACTCCCAAGTTTTGTCTGCATGAGAATTTGGTTGTGGTCTCTGTATTGTGTGGGATATCTCATCATGGAGTAGCCCAGGCACTGTATGACTCTATGGAGGAGTCCAGAGAAGGATCATCTCCAGAGACTCTTGCTTTTATTGTCATTATTGCCAAACACACTCATCTTGAGTGAAGGTTCTTTCCCAGTTTCTGGACCATGTTTAGGCCTCTAAACCATCCTCTTTTCTGTCAGAACATCTGCAGCTGGAGACTTTCCCAGTGAGATCTTTCACATCCCAAAATGCCCATCCCAAGCTCCCAGCAGTGTGGCTGTTGCTCCAGACATGACATCTGGAGAGCACTTTCTCCTAAGACAAGAACAGAAAGATGCTTTCTAGAACTCTTCAGTCTTGGGGTCCTCCATCCACAGAGCTCCGGCAGGGGAACTTAACCCTAGTTTTGAGACCTGCTGGATTTATAGGGGACCAGGAAAAAAGCCAGTCACTCTGCAAGGTTAAAATAAGGACTGGAATGCAGCTATAGTCTCCATGGGGATATTAACAGCTGTGGCAGTGACTGCTTGGATCAGTGGCTAGAAACAACTAGTGCAGCAGAACAGTCCCAATTTTGTCATCTTTCCAGGGAAGTAAAAGTGAATGGTCCTTTCTGGTCCCTCTGTGAGGCTGAGCTTGGAGGCCAGAAGACTGCCCTTCTCAGCCTGACTTTCTGGGCTCTGCTCAGTGATTCTTCCCTCCTGTGTTTGCAGGTGGTCAAGACAGTCCCAGAACCAGCTCACACTGTGGTGGAGATGAGCAGCCAGGTCGAGGTGTACCTCAGTGCCATTGTTGCCTACGCCCAGTTCCAACTGAACGCGGTCATGGTTCGGTTCACAAACACCTTGCCCTTCGAGACAAGGACAGCCACGTGAGTGCTGGAGGCCAGGCACAGCTCCTCCTGTGAGCAGGAGCTGCCTTTGCCCAGGGCTGGCCCAGTGCCTGATTCCCAGAGCTCTACCCCAGGCAAAACTGTCGCCTGCCAGGGGCTATGTACAAATCACGGAGGGGACGGGACTGCTGGGGAACGCGTCTTGAGCTGTTGTATTTTCCAGCATCAGCCTCATTACATGGTTATATGACAAACCAGCTCTCCTGCTTTGGCCCAGGAGTGTGTGCTGCAGACGGAGACCCTGCTCCCAGACGCTCTATTTCCTGCTAGAAGAAAGTACTTGGCCAGAGAAGCTCCAAGTGCATCCTAGCTCTCTTCCAGCCACCTGCAGCAGGAGGCAGAGCTGCTGGGAACACAGGATTTTGTCTTTGAAAGGTCTCCTCTTCCTCCCTGCAGGTCGGTTCCTCTCCTACGATACCATGAAGTATCACAGAAAGCTGCTGCGTCTTTTCTGGTGGGAGCAGGACCATCCTCTTGAGACGCCTCCTAAAGCGCGGCGGCTGCGGCGGCCTGCCAAGCAGCAGCAGGATTCCGAGCTGGAGCAGGATTCCGAGCAGCAGGAGGAGCAGGATCCCGAGCTCCAAGAAGAGCAGCCAGAGCAGCAGCAGCAGGAGCAGCGCAAGCAGCAGGACCACTCCAAGAAGCTGCGCCGCTCAAAAGACAAGAACCTGTCTCCAAAGCGTGCCAGCTCCTCCCTGGATATCTTCCCTGATGTTATGCACGACCTGTTCTCCATCAGCCCCTGCGATGGCACCATCCCTCCTGGCCAGAAGCAGACCTTTCACCTGCAGTTCCACCCAAAGTGCACCGGGAATTTTAAGACCACCCTGCTGTGCAGGTGGGAAATGTCTACACACTTGCCAACTCACGCTGCTGCTGGGTGTCACTGAATCACAGGGTGGGACAGGGTGGAAGGGACCACAGTAGGTCATCTGGTCCCACTTCCCTGCTCAAGTGGAGTCATCCCAGAGCACATGGCACAGGGCTGTGTCCGGAGGGCTCTGGAATAATTCCAGTGAGGGACACTCCACACCATCTCTGGGCAACTCGTCACTTGCACAGGAAAAAAGTTCTTCCTCAGGTTCAGGTGTGATTCCCAGTTCAGGTTCTGCCCATGGTAGGGAGGCACTGGGAAAAGACACTGCATGAAACAGTAAGCTCCTGGAGGGTTGCAAATCTGGAACAAGAGATCCAGGGACCAGACAGTCCCTAGCTGTTCTTCCTTTTGGGACAAGCAAGGCCTGCTTCTCTACATGGAACCCCGTGTGCTGTAGTTGGTCCCCAGGCATTTAACTGGTCATGTTCCTGCCCTTGCAGCTCTGCAGCCTCCATGCAGCGAGTGCAGTTGTTCCGTTTGCTGCTCGCTGCTTGCACAGAGAGAAGATGCAACACTGTGTGCTCTGCAAGGAGACAGAAAAGCAGCTGGCTGGGAATGCTCATCTGGCTAATACCAGTCCCTTTCTTCCTAGGATTCCTAACCTGGAGCCGACTCAGAAGATGGGGAAGGTGATTGTGAAAGGCAGAGTCCAGGAGTGCAAGAATCTCGATGAATCATTAGAGCAGATGGAGGAAGGCCAAGGACCCAAGGTGCAGGTGCTCTGGAGACCACCACCTGAGGGACAGCGTTTGTGTGAGCTGGAGCATCCAGCAGGAGCCGGCGACATCGTGCCTTCTGCTGATGATGATCTCCCACTCTTCACCAGAGACGTCTGGAGCTGCCCTCCCAAGCTCCAGGAACATCTTTATCTTTCCTTTTAGTTAGCTAAGTTAACTAATTGTTTGTAAGTTAACTGTTAACTAAGTTAACTAATTGTTAGATTGATAAGTAGTTAATAATTGTTAATTCATTGTTAATAAACAATTGTTAATAAATTGTTAATTGTCAGCTTGTCTTGGTTTGAAAGATAGGTGCCCACGGGACCTCTCTGGAATGGAGAATGTGAGCCCCTTCTCCCCAAATTATTATAACTTTGAAATTAAGGGGCTTTCAGGAAAAGATATGGGAAAAGGAGTAACAGTTCTTTGCCAGTATGTACAACAAGGCAAACAAACAACAGCGGCAGCAACAACGAACAGAACCAGGTGCCCAACCCCAGCCTTCCCTTGGCTGTAGGCACTTTCCCTTTGGTGCAGTTCCTGTCACAGCCAGGCCAGGGAAGGGAGGCAAACAATGAATAAAGCAATTGTTAGAGAAACTTTCATTATTATTGAGGGGCCCAGAAAGGGACCCAGCACCCGAGGTGTGGCCTCACCAGTGCCCAGCACAGCAGGACAATCACTGCCTTTGTTGGGAAGGATGAAAGTTTGACAAGGATGTCTCACAGATATATGTGCTTGGCAGAAAGATTTTTGAATGTAGAATCTGAAGAAGGAATAGAAATGAAAGCAAGTTTTGATGTAGAAGAAAATAATTGCTGAGCCAGTCTTACTGGATAGCTAAGAAGGCAAAGGATATGTTAGTTTGTTGTAGTGTGTTTTTATACTTTGTGATGGTTTCGTTTTTGTATCACCTTATTTTTCCCAAATGGTTTACTCCTGATTGTACCCCTTCCCTTTACCTGTGTAATCCCTCTCCTTTGTTGAGATTTTCCCCAAATCCCCGCCCTGGCTCTCTGTCAATCACTCTGTCAGCATCCCATCCTTTCTATCTAGAACTTCCACTTCAGGTCATCGAGTGATCAGTCAGAGGCCAGGGGTCAGCCCCCCAAGTGCTACCCCATACGCTATCCCAAATGTCCATTCCCTAAGTTTTCACCCCTGAAAGTTCTTTATGGTTCCGCAAATTTATCTACTTTTTGGCTCACCAGGGGAGCCAAGTTTTTTTCTGCTTTTGGAAGGCTGCCAGCTGCAGGCATTTGTTTACTTTCTCTTCCCCCCGCCTTTTGTCTGGGTTGGTGAAAGTTATTTGAGATACAAAACTTTAAATCACAGCCACAATGGGTGGTAGGCTGTCTGTATCACAGAAAGGGCTTTATTACCATCACTGGACCTTCCTAAAAGTGAGGCAATCTGATTTTCAAAAAGATACGTGAAACAATTTCTTAGATGGCTATTCCTTCACTTCCCCAATGTAACAGCTGAAAATATTCATGTATTAGAATTTTGGGACAAAACTGGCAATGAATTATTAAAAGCAGGAAAGTCAGGTAATAAATCTGTGTCAAAATTTGTTTTCTAAGCTATGCAGATCAGAAATACTGTAAAATCCAAATCAGAAATGCAGGAACAGCCACCTGGAGGCAATCTGAACGCCTCTGCTTCCCAAAAACCCCATTCCCCCCTCCCCGAGTTATGTTCTTCCTCTCCTAGCCCTCCTTCCTCACCCCCTGTCCCCAAACAGAGCACTCTGAAGGAAGCTACACTTCCTAGCTTCCCTCAGAAGCTCCCAGTCCACAGCCCAGAGGGTTCTGGCCAAACTCCCCGGGATTCTACCCTTCCCCACACTTCCCTGGTTTGTAATGCCCAATCCCGAAAACCTTCAGTTCGTTTTGAGCCTCCTATTCCACCTCCAGAGGCTTCCCTAGAGATCCACGATGGCCGCAAACACATGGCTCCAGTCCTTTGTCCTTCTCTTTCCCATAACCCCTTTCAGTCACCCAAAAACCCTTTCCTGTCGGAAACCCCTCCCGAAACATCCCCTGCCAGCACCCAGCTGTCCCACTGTCCTTCCCACTCCCACCCATCTGTCCTTCCCATCCCGCCCAGCTCTCCTTCCCATCCCACCTAGCTCTCCTTCCCATCCCACCCAGCTGTCCTTCCCATCCCGCCCAGCTGTCCTTCCCATCCCGCCCAGCTCTCCTTCCCATTCCCACCCAGCTGTCCTTCCCATCCCGCCCAGCTGTCCTTCTCATCCCACCTAGCTCTCCTTCCCATCCCATCCAGCTGTCCTTCCCACTCCCCACCCAGCTGTCCTTCCCACTGCCCACTGAGCTGTCACAGCAGGGAGAGACAGAGGGCAGACCCCGAGAGGCGGAATCTGCAAAAAACAGCTGTCCTCTCTGCCTCTGCTGTAACACACGTATCAGATCTCCGGGGTGGGACCCCCTTCTCTTACCAGTGTACTAAAGAGCTACTTAAAGCTCAGAAAGAATTTCATAGAGACAGCGAACATTTCAGGGGACTTCTTAAAGCTGCGCCTTCTGCTAATGCCTTAACCCCTGCTGACATCAAAGAGCTTTTTTCCTGCCTGCCATCCCAAACTGAATACCTCTTATGGGAGATAGAATGGAAAAAAAGAAGTGAGAGCCAGTTTACCAACACTACGGGCTGGCAAGGACACTTCTAATGATGCTTACGGTAGCATGACATCGGTGGAACTCCTCTGTGGACAAGGAGAGTGGGAGGACGAAGCAAGTCTGAGTTTGCTTTCGGGGGGGGGGGGGGGGGCTTTTGGAGGTTTTCTTCCAAATATGGAGGTTTTCTTCCAAATTTGCCCTAAACCAGGACAGATGGTCGCCAACTGCACCTGGGATTTTCAATACCTTGTGCCACCCCACTGTAGTTTTATTGATATTAGTTAGAGTTTTTGGAGGTTTTCTTCCAAATATGGAGGTTTTCTTCCAAATTTGCCCTAAACCAGGACAGATGGTCGCCAACTGCACCTGGGATTTTCAATACCTTGTGCCACCCCACTGTAGTTTTGTTGATATTAGTTAGAGTCACTTTGGGGTTATCTTTTATAGGCTAATTTGGAATTGGAGAATACTACAGCAAATAGCAGTGTTGACCTCCTTATCAAATGTACATGGCAAAGCATTCAGAGACACCTGTTGTCATACAATTTGTACAAAGTAAAAGAATTTCCTTGTTTCTAGAAAAGGGGGGAATGAAACAGGGGATTGGAAAGTTAACTCCGGGTAGAAACCAATGTTTTATTTTTTTGTTTAGTCTTTTAACTTGTGTGCTCACCAAAGGCCTCCAGAGAGAGAACAAAGGAGACTCAAGGCTACTCAGAAAGAAATGCTGAAGAGAGACAAGAAGAAGCTCCCTGCTGACCTTGAGACTGAAGCAAACAGAAAAACTGAACCTGGGTTATAAACACCACATTACAACTGCATGACTGAAGAACTGGGCAGGCTCATAAAATTGATAAGACTGTTTAATACATATGCATATGACTTTTATGCATGTGCTACAGGTTAGGGGATAAAGTAGACTTGGGAATTTTTGGGGGTGCTCTTGTCCTTGGGGGGCATGTCCAGCGCTGAAATAAATCACACCAGCTTTACAACTTTCACAAGTTGTGGAGTTTTTTTCCACTAATCACTCACCACTTGCCACTGGGTTATTTTGAGCCAATCATCTGTTCCTCTGGTCTGCTACACCACTTAGACCAATTAAGGCAGTGAGAGAATTCAACCAGTTTAATTAGACAAACCAATTAAACTTGTTCAGTTAGATGAACCAATTAAAGCAGTTGAACCAGTTATAAACTTACTGTGGAACCATTTGAATAATTTTAAACGTTTAAACCAGTTGAGTTAGCTCTGATTAGACAGATTAGATTAAATTACTTAAATTACATAAATCAGAGAAATCAATTAAACAAGTTACATTAGACAATTCAGCCAGTTAAGCCAGTTACACCAGCTAAAGGTGACAGGTCCTAAGGGACTTTGCCCTGCACTCACCACCAGGAAGTTTCTTCCATTTTACCACCAGGAAGTTGTAACAGGATTTTTCCAGCCAGGGGAAGGCTGGAAAGGACAGCCAGGACATTTCCAATGCCAGTGGAGACCCAGAAGGTGCTCAGAGGGGGAGACAACAGGAAGGCACAGGAAGGATTGGTCTGCTGAGCAAGGTCAGGGGCTGGGGTGGAGATTCTGGATCCAGGGTCTCCCTGGATCCAAGGAGACCCCAGTGCTGAGGAGAGCCCGGGACTGAGGAAACCCCAGACTGAGGAGAAGATTTCAGTGCTGAGGAGACCCAGGATCCAAAGAGACACCAAATCTGAGACGATTCCAGATCCAAAGAGATTCTGGATCCAAGAAGTTTCCAGAGACAGGAACAAGATTCCAGAGCTGAGAAGATTCTGAATCCAAAGAGAACCCAGAGCTGAGGAAAAGATCCTGGATCCAAGAAGAAGATTCTGGAACAAAGAGACTGTGGACCTGAGGAGCAGACCTTGGACTGAAAAGATTGTGGATTCAAGGAGACTCCAGAGCTGAGAAAATTCTGTCTCCAAGGACAAGATCCTAGAGCAGAGGAAACCCCAGACTGGAGGAGTAGATTCTGTCCCTGTGGAGCAGCCAATCGCCTGCCAAGATGTGGAAATTCTTGGAGCGGACTGTGGAGATCCAGATATCTAACAGCACCCGGCATGCCACCTTGGAGAACCCCAGGTGAGGGGAAGGCGCAGGAGGACCCCTGGGGTGCAGGGGGGTGGTTTGGGTGGGGTCATCATCCCATGATGGGAGCATCTCCTCGGGGTTGGTCCATCTCCCACCATCTCCCAGTAGTGCCACCATTACCTCCCGTTGGTCCCAGCACCTCCCAGTGGTGGTGATGACAGTAAAAGATTTTTAAATCATAGAAAATTCGGCAAGTTAGAAAGAAAGCTAGGCTTAGTAGGCCCTGGGAAAATGTTAAAAGTGGGCCCTGGGAAACGTCAGGCCTCATGTTTGCCAGATCATGTGAAATTTCACCTGAGTAACCAGTATATGATAAATTATATAATTGTTCGATGTTGTTGTTTAGATGTAATTATTGTTTAACTGTAAGAAGAATCATGAGAAACTATGTTCAAGGGTTTGAGGGGG